TACATATTTAATAGTGGTACAGCAATGCCAATACTAATACTTGTACCACGTGATAAATCTAACTTTAAGTTTAACTTCATGTTCAAAATCAGTAACTCTGGGTAATATCTTCATTTTGAACTTGTCCATACCTGTAAGCAGTCAGTTAATCTGAGTAGTGAGCAGGTGGCATTATCGAGCCCTGCTAGCGTTGAAATTGAAAGTATAATCAATAATTATCTTCCTCTGCTATAGTACAACTGGGAGGATTGATAAGTTGACGCATGAACGATGAAGCGGTTCATTGTCAACGGACGAGATGTATTAACAGTTAATCTGTTCATTGTTAACAGTGCTGTAACAGTAACGTTATTTTGTCGAGAAGAAAATCTAAGGTTTGAAAATTGTTGTTATTCCAGTATAACAAATAAATTGGCACTATCCGTCGCGGAGTCGAGTCCGCGGCGGAGCCGCCGGACTCCGAGCGGACTCGGGCGGAGCCGCCGGACTCCGAGCGGACGCCGGCGGTGCTCCGCCAAATGTATTTACAGTGGACTCGAGTACATTTTGGCGGACTCCGAGCGGACTCCGAGCGGACTTTAAAGTCCGCCGCGGACTCCGAGCGGCTCCGCGGCGGCTCGGCGGAGTGTCCGCCGCGGACTAAGCCACTAGGCGGACTCCGGTCCGCCGCGGACTCCGGCGGAGTGCTTGGCGGACTCCGCCGGACCTCTCCGCCAGACTTGAATCCGGCGGAGTCCGGCGGAGCTTGGCGGAGTCCGCCAGCTCGGCGGACTCCGCTCGGAGTCCGCCGGACTCCAACAGAGTTCACTGACTTCCGCCCTCCGTCTTCCGACCCTCGGCTAAATTTGTCACGTGACATACAACATAGCATTTTGCAATATTGTGGTCAGATGAAAAGGTCGCTAGTGTGTAGTGATAAACCTTAACCATTACCCTCACAATGTCAATAGTGTACAACTCTAGTCCTAACTTTGACCCTATAATGTATAAACGTTGACCCTAACCCTCCACCAAACCGTCCGCAGCGAAATATCAATGTCATTGACTGGTCACGTGACCAAAACAATTTTTGTCATATTATCTCATATGGGGAAGCGTTTTTAGCAAGCAAAAATACGTCGACCATCACAGGACGACGCCAGCCAGCACTCTTTACGCTCTTCGAGCTCCGATCGTCCTGTGACGAAGTAAGGACGAAGCCTGAGGTCCTCAGGTAACATCGACCACCGATTGAAAATTCAAAGATTTTTTGACATAAAGGTCAAATGTAAAACTAAAATCTTGATGCTGATTGATTGACGACGTCAATTTTTGAGCACAGCGCGAGCGCATGCGGAAAAGGACCGCGTAGCTACAAGCTAGTCAAGATGTTGATAAATATTTGGCTTGTGGCGCGATGTGTTGCTCTAACTATAGCCCTCTCGCTTGCAGTAGCGCGCGACCGCCGGAAATGACTTGTGGAACAAGCGCGCCCGCAGCGGCGCGAAAGCACCTGGTTAGCTAAATGAACGCGATGTGCCTTGCATTGTAGGATGAAATCCTACTATACTAGCTGACGCCACTCGCAGCTGTGATGTTCGCTGTACGTCAGCGATCGAAATTTATACGCGTATCACCCTTAAGATGTGCCACCCGACGCGCCACGCAATTTTTCTCGTTGCTCGTCGCACGTCGACGAACAACGAAGCTCGTTGCGACGCGCAATGAGCTGCCAGGCTAGGACATCGTCCCTGGTCCAACAAATTTTGGCGAGCGCGAGCGATTTTCTCCAAAAATTTAATGAGGGCGCCGACTTCCACTCTGGCTAGGTTTCTTTTTATAGCTTAGGGGGTGCACGATAAAAATAAAGTTGCTTGGATTTAAAAAAATTTTGTACCACTGTTTTCTAGAGACTGTGAGAATTTTCACAATACCAAATTTGTTATACCTTTTTGGAAAAATCAGTGAGTTTCGCCTAGGTGCCATATTTGATGGTGCGCGGCTTTTGGAGCAAAAGTAGCTGTAAAAGTCGCGTAATTTGACTAAATTCGTCCAAATTTGACCATTTGTGTCGTATTATTCGGATTTATCTTCAGTTCCTTAAATGAGATCATTCTGGGAATTGGCGACGACCTTCCAATTGGGCTTTCACAACTGTCCGAAAACTTTGGTGGATATCGGAGTTGATATAGTAATAAAAATGGGGCAAAATACGCTGCTTTTAGCTGTAACATAATGTCTGATGGTTGGATATGCTTTAAATTTTTCGGACACTTTCCTTGTAAGTTTATGAATAAGCTTACCAATTTTTGTTGCAATTGGAGGTCGGGAAGGATACTCTATATCTATTTGTTTGAAGAAAATTGTGCTGGCCGAAATTTCGATCGCTGACGTACAGCGAGCAGCACAGCTGCGAATGGCGTCAGCTAGTAGGATTTCATCCTACAAGGCACATCGCGTTTACCTAGCTAACCAGGTCATTTCCGGCGGTCGCGCGCTACTGCAAGCGAGAGGGCTATATATAGTTAGAGTAACACATCGCGCCACAAGCCAAATATTTATCAACATCTTGACTAGCTACGCGGTCTTTTTCCGCATGCGCTCGCGCTGTGCTCAAAAATTGACGTCGTCAATCAATCAGCATCAAGATTTTAGTTTTACATTTGACCTTTATGTCAAAAAATCTTTGAATTTCAATCGGTGGTCGATGTTACCTGAGGACCTCAGGCTTCGTCCTTACTTCGTCACAGGACGATCGGAGCTCGAAGAGCGTAAAGAGTGCTGGCTGGCGTCGTCCTGTGATGGTCGACGTATTTTTGCTTGCTAAAAACGCTTCCCCATATGAGATAATATGACAAAAATTGTTTTGGTCACGTGACCAGTCAATGACATTGATATTTCGCTGCGGACGGTTTGGTGGAGGGTTAGGGTCAACGTTTATACATTATAGGGTCAAAGTTAGGACTAGAGTTGTACACTATTGACATTGTGAGGGTAATTACCTGAGGACCCCAGGCTTTAATGTTGGTAAACAATAGAATAGAGATTATTAGGCGGAATTATTAGGCGGAATGACAGGCTGAGCGCGGCCCAGTAAGAGGGTAATGGTTAAGGTTTATCACTAGCGACCTTTTCATCTGACCTTGATTTACGATGTCAATCCTTCGCAGCTCGGTGAGGCACAGTGGTGCATCTCGCCGATCTACCGATCTATGCGAGAAGCATTATTTGATGCGCGCGCGACCCAGTAGTGCATCGCGCTACAACATCTGACCACAATATTGCAAAATGCTATGTTGTATGTCACGTGACAAATTTAGCCGAGGGTCGGAAGACGGAGGTCGGAAGTCAGTGGACTCTGTTGGAGTCCGGCGGACTCCGAGCGGAGTCCGCCGAGCTGGCGGACTCCGCCAAGCTCCGCCGGACTCCGCCGCCGGATTCAAGTCTGGCGGAGAGGTCCGGCGGAGTCCGCCAAGCACTCCGCCGGAGTCCGCAGGCGGACGCCGGACCGGAGTCCGCCTAGTGGCTTAGTCCGCGGCGGACACTCCGCCGAGCCGCCGCCGAGCCGCCGCCGAGCCGCTCGGAGTCCGCGCGCGGCGGACTTTAAAGTCCGCTCGGAGTCCGCTCGGCTCCGCTCGGAGTCCGCCAAAATGTACTCGAGTCCACTGTAAATACATTTTGGCGGAGCACCGCCGGAGTCCGCTCGGAGTCCGGCGGCTCCGCCGCGGACTCGATTCCGCGACGGATAGTGCCGTAAATCTAGCTAAAGTAAAGTAAAGTAAAGTAAAAATTATGACATAACATCATCACTAATGTCTACAAAGTATCATCACACTACATGGAAAAATAACTATTTCTCCATCAAATTTAAAGGTAATAATTTATCAAATATTAATCATGAATAAAAACAACATTACAAAATTTAATTTATTCATACTTCCCAGTTAGTGGAGTAAAGATTTATAAAACGTTTCTTTGCTACATAAGGATGGAACCACAGATAATCATTGTGTTTTTCCTTATTACTGATATAACTGCTGTACAATATTTTCAAGTAGGCAACTAGTTGAGTTATTAGAATATTTCGAAATCCAATTTGAGTGTGTATTTCGTGATTTAGCGATGCACACGAAAACAATTTGGTAGTTTGTAACGGGGTCTGATTCTGATTGTGCAAAATTAGGCAAAAAGATGGCCCATTGGGATCAATCATGGGTGGAGGGAGCTGAAATAAGTGGAAAAAACTTTGGATTTTTTGGGCTAAAATAGTAACAAGGGAGCTGAAATAAGTGGAAAAAACTTTGGATTTTTTGGGCTAAAATAGTAACAAGAATTGCGCCTGTTGTTTCGTTTTGGCGGACGCTAGATTTCCATTTCACATTTATATATTACTATAAATTTAAGTATAAGCTCCAATCGGCTCACTTCAATTTTCATGATAATAATATTGATAAATTATGCATCAAATACAGGAAACACTTGAAATTCAGTTCAATTGCCGTAGAACTTAACTTGTATCTGTAATTCAAGAAATTATAATGTAAACTATACTCGTGTACACATCAATACACTACGCGTGCCACGTACAAATTGGGCGTATTACCTAATAGTAATATTATACATTACATACATCATATAATACATTAAAACACAGTCGCGCCGCGCATTCATAGATCACAGGCTATCTATACATCACATCTCCGCAAGCAATCCTCGCGCGCGCCAACTGTTTCGTTGCATGGTAACGAACGGAAGGAAGGACACACGAAATATTTAAACCCACCTATCTCGTTCTCCAAAATCCACGTTTTTCTGCAAAAACCTCCATTCGTAACCTTTCACTATTGCCTTTTTTCAAAAGGGTGAAAAGGAAAAAATCTTGCAATTAGAAAACCATAAAATTCCTATTTTTAATAGGGGGGGGGGGGGGGGGGGGGCTTGGGGCTTGGGGCATGATGGTACCCCATACAAATTTTTTCCCTAACCATAATTTCCTCCCACAACTATATATTATTGCTGATAGGAAAGTGATGTTATGAAGTAGAAAAGGACAAAAAGAGGTGATTATCAAGCGATAATGTTACTGTACATTAGCAGTCCAACATTCATTGTAAGTAAACTAGACAAAAAATATCTTATATTTCAAGTTTTGCTGAATGTTTATTCTGAACTATGTACAAGTATTTCCTCATTGGCCCAATATTTCCTGACTTAACTTGTACTAACCTGAATTCTCAGTTGTTCATAGCATAGTTAAAAACAGTAAAGTTCCCAAATTCTCAAGAAGAGAATTCGTAATTTGTTATCAACAACATCAAATTTCAATAAAAATAAACAATTACCAAGGTTTGCCTTCTCAGGGACGGACATTTGTGATATCATGCAGCAGTAAAGATTCCATCGCTCGTCTTAAAGCAAACATTCTCCACATTCTTTACGAAATGGGCCGAGGATCCCACCAGTTTCGTCTGAAGTTCAAAAGCCAGTACTTAAAGGACTCTTCGACAATTGAGGTACAAAAAAAGAGTGTCTTATGTACATAGAGAGTGAAGTACAGTCAAACCTAGAGCCATAAAGATTCTTTTGAAGACAAATTCTCCGCAATATTTGGGAAATGTGTTACCATAAATTGAGTTTATTACCATTTACAGGACTACGGCATTATTGATAGCCACGTGATCAACATGATTCCACTGTCCAACAAGTCCTTTACTGAGCACCCTCTCATGTCCTCAGCTTCATCACTTCAATCAAGGTGATAATTGTATCCTGGAAATTTAGAAACTTGACGAAATTGTTGATGGAACAATAAACATCATTTAATTGTTGCATGTATTTTTCAGTTCAAGTAACGTGTTCATAATTTATTTAAAGAAATTCATTTTGTCCAAGTCTTATAGTTATAACGTTTAACCTCGTTCAGAGAGAATGAAGACACTTTACAACGGATGCTGTTCAGGGAAGTTAATACATTGAAACGGCGAGAGAAGCTATGCAACGAGATGCAGGTTAACATCTGCTAGGTTCAGTCTAGTTCACTCAGCTTATAATCATAATCAATCAAACAAAGTGAAAGTAAACGTGAAAGTTGAAAACTTATTTTATCAGGTCTGGATCTGGGCTCTGTTCGTGTTTGGTTTTATAACATTCCTCACCGAATATTGGTACACAGGGTTCTACAAATGTGTTTTTGCTATCTTGGCTCTCTACTTCACTCCCAAATACACACGACTCTCTGGGTTTTATCTCCGAATGAACGAAAGGTTTTAAGATTTTATTATAAGGTTCATTTTTAATCAGCCCTTTTAAAAGATTGATTAGGATAACCAATGTTTAATTGGTAAATTTCATGATTTCAAAAGTACAATAAAATATATTCTTACAGGAATGATTTACGGATACTGGTGATCTCACTCTTTGCTCTAGCAATGTTCTTATCTAACCTCGGATTGCTAACAAGCTTACACGAGGTTCGTGTTCATGTATTTGTCTTTTTTTTGTTTTTGTTTATTTGTTTGGTTGTTCGTTTTAATACCTGCTTTTTGTTCTGTGGAGAATAAAGCATTAAATATTTATAAACTTAACAGATCATATGTAACTGTGAAGATCGATATTTTAAATTAGAAATAATCGTTAAATAATAAATATTTAAAAATGTTTACGAATTTTAGTCCTTTCATTTTAGTCCTTTCATGAACACAGTATTTCATACTCGTCTCATTATTGCTATAAATAAGACTAACAATGTAGCGTCTTATAAAAACTTCAAATTCATATTCTCACTTTACTAATTGACTATTCGTTTTCCACAAAGTTCTAAAACAGATTAAAACTACGAGCATGAGCTAACAATAACAAGTGAAACTAACGGTATTTGTTGAACTACTAAAATCTAATATATAAGTACATATCTGAATTCTAATGCTGACTTAGTTCTTGTAGACTTGGCACAACATCTACCAAGTAAATAAGGGATACCACTGCAGGGGTGGTCTCCTTCAGTTGTACAAACATAGTCCATCTTGACTGGTTGAACCAACTTTCTAGACACACAACTTTACAAATAAGTGTCATTCAGGTCTGATTTTAACAAACGTGTTCATGAGATGGCTGCCCATAAGATCACAATAACTTCTCCAAACTCTGAGAGACATGAGATGTTCTGGTAACATGAAGACTAAAGAAATCTTAGGAAGTATGACCTGGTCCCTCTCTTCCTGGGTAGCAACCATGATCTGATCTGCTACCCACTCTGGTTCAAGTAGGGGGAATATCAGCGGCCACTTCGCTTGCACATTGTTGAAAAGTCCTGTCTTGGTAACATGAGGTAGCACACACGTTAACTTTACATTCCTTATATTGAGGAGTGCTAACTCTCCCTGTACTGCTTGAGTGAAACCTCTGACTGCGAACTTGGAGGCAGCGTAGCTGGACATGCGGGATCCTGGGGTGATCCCTCCTAGCGAGGAAACGTTTATTATGTGACCTTCATTCTCCAACATCTCATTGAACACCAATTTCTGGAGATACATTGTGCCCATCAAGTTTACTCTGATAACTCTCTCCATCTGCTCTTCCGTTTCATCCGAGAATAACTTACCAGATACTATCCCCGCGATGTTGAAGAGATAAGACACGTGCCTGTGAGGAACATTCTCCTTGATCTGTCTCCCTAACTCCCTGACTCCTTCCTTACTCCCCACATCACACGTGTAAGTGAACACCTCACATTCTCCCCGTTTCCTCAGCTCTGCTGCTGATTCCTCGTTTAGCGCTCTGTTTATGTCTACACAGTGCAGAGTGTTGTTATCTCGAGCAAGTCGTCCTGCTATCAGCTTACCTAGTCCCTGACCGGTTCCGGTGATAAGGATATTCTCTCCAACGATCTGTTTTCTAGGCCTACATCTGAATATTGCATAGACAGTTTCAAGAACAAGGTCATACGCCCACAAGAGGAGAAACCCTGCGACTTCCTGGAAATCCGATATCATCGACATCTGCACTTGTCTTGTTGAAACTTCCAAACTTTCTAACCGTGAACTTATTGACTTGAGTAGTGAGTACCTAATAAGATTGATATTTAAGTTCAACTCTTTTGCAATATACTGCAGAGTTAAATGCTAAAAGTTAAATGTACCTTGCAATTGCCCACGTGCAAATTGGGTAAAAATTCGGAGATTGCATAGTAACGAGAGTAGTTTTCAAAATAATCGATTGTAATACTGTTAGCTTCTTCCCTGTGACACGGGCTGGCTTTCTAGTTATTCTTAGTTTCGATAACAAACTAGTGAAACTGATCTCAAACAAAATGAAAATTATCAAACGAAACAGCATAAAAGAAATAAGTGCTATCCGGTAATTATATCTTTATATCTGATTATAATTGCTTCATCGCAAATGTAAGACAATCATGAGCATTCAATACTATATATTATACTATATGTAATCAGCTATTCACTAACAAACCGTGAAATACTATGAATATATTGATCCGGCGTGATCAATTATTTAAATTGAAGTACAGCGGCTGCACCCCTGACTTTTTAACTAAAGATAAGAGACGTATATATAACTATTAGGACATTTGTAATCTGATAAAATTCAAAGTTTTGGTGTGTGAATTAAAGCTTGGTGTGAGAATGAGAGTGGAAATAAAAGAGATGTTCATTTTATTATATCATATATCTTAATTATGTATTATTATAATGTGACAGTATTATTATTTTACCTATAGATTATATTATTTTAGTTAGTATCTATATGAATGTTACGATTGCAGTTTATTTCTATATTGTATTGTATTCAATAAACCGGTTTCAAAGACCTTATGGGTGTCCCTCAGGCCTCGGGTCTTTTAAAACAAAACAAAAAACAAAAACTGAGAAACGCCTATGACGCAATGATATCTGGCAAAGAAGCAAAACATCACTGAACGGTGCAGTAATCATCAGAAGAACATTTTTCAAATTCCTGAACTAACGTAATTGAAGCAACAGTAATTGTAGAACGATATCAATTAAAGAAAACTATAAATTCTTTTGGCAGTGATCCACATTCCTTCTTACCCGCTAACCGTGATCTCTACGTGATCTTGTTGGTAAAGAGGAAAATTACGTTAATTTATAGTCAAAACTCAAGAGGACTATAATAACTTAATAAGCAGAACTAACAATTTTAAACTGTGGTCTACTGATCCATTGTGAGAAACGTTCTGTTTTTATAAACCGGACGCGGATGACAATTACTATTGGTTAAAAACTAACATATCCAATGCGGCTAATAAACTAGTAAGACAATCGCGTGATTGTTCAGCAAATAAAGAGAGCGTAACTGGAACTTCTAGTACAGTTAGAAGTCTGGGAAACGTTAGAGCTAGATCTTATTGGTAATTGGTGCTTATGTAAACATTACGTATTCTCCAGCTACAGACAGGGTTCAGTATACCAATACGGCTACCATAACAACACGCCTAACACAACAACTCAAATCATAGATCAAATCAAATAATAGTGATACAAACATCACACGTCATCAGGAATATTTATGAATTCAACTAAAAAGCTCAGTAAAATGTTGTTACTTAATCGGTCAAGCAGATGATAAGCGCAGAGATAAAGCAGATTTTCAATACAATGATAGGAATAAAATAATAAACTACGTGAGCTTTTATATGGACACGTTCATTTGAGTTTGAGGATATTGGTAAACAAAAATAATAGCGTTTTTGACGATAGTGGCTTAATTTTGACATCTATTAACCTAGCACGTTCAGAAGTTCTGAACATTAGCCACGTAGCCCATCCTCCCATATGCACCGCTCAGATAGAAAATCTATTGTTGTTAGGCACTATAATGTTTCAAATGTCACATTTTGTGTGACTTAGTTAACTGCAGTTGTCTAATTATCATTCCTTGGTCTGAAATATAGTAAATTAGGTCAATCTAACAATTATGATACAACATTGGTTAATGGGCACGGATCGAACGGTTACAAGGCAATATTTGGGTAACTTTGTCACACTCATGATACCATACCTCTATTCTACTGTGAGGTGTCCTAAAAACCCTTTCAACTCATTATTTGATGGTTGCTCTACCAATCATAGCCCTAAAATATGTTGGTTTGAATATATAGCTAATACAGCACTCGGTTATTGGGAAATGAGGTTAATTCTGTCACAATATATGGAATTTAAAATTTTGGGCGAATTATTTATATCTGATTTTGGTTTGAAAGGCGGGGAAATTTTATATGATGACAATGTAGTTGATGCAAGTTAAGATCAGTTGATGTTAACATTGTCACAAAAAATTATACGAAATCGTAAATAGATTAAAAACAATGATTATAGAATGAAATAGTCTCTTATAATAACTCTTATAATAACCCTTATAATAACTGATGTGACAAAGTAAACATGTCTTGCCCCTATTTTGAAGATCTATATTCTATACCTCTATTAGAATATTGTCCAGAACATCAGAGCTTAAGTTTAACAATTTTAGGTTAAATTTGTCAAAGTCACTAAAAATGTGACAAAATTAACTTTTCATGCCCCAACAATTTCAAGATAGTGTGTAAAAATTAGCATAGGACTTGCTTTATTACCTATATAAATCAATCCAAACTACAAAAAACTATATGTTAATGTGATGACGATTACCTATCTTATAATAACTGATGTGACAAAGTAAACATGTCTTGCCCCTATTTTGAAGATCTATAACTCTAATAGAATTCAACATTCTTTCATAAACGATTGGAAGAATATTGTCTAGAACATAAGAACTCAATTTAAAAAATTTAGATTAATTTGTCAAAGACATTGAAAATGTGACAAAATTAACTTTCCCTGCCCCAACAGTATCAAGATAGTGTGTTAAAATTGGCATAGGATTTATTACAGGTATATTAAAGTATTAATCGATCCAAACTACGAAAAATATCTTTTAATCTGATGACGATTACCTAACTCTTATAATAACTGATGTGACAAAGTAAACATGTCTTGCCCCTATTTTGAAGAACTATACCTCTATTAGAATACTATGTAACTTTATCATCAAAAAAATTTCGATAAACTAGTTATTTTGCCAGCAAGGAGCTAACAGAGTTATAATAATTTTTTGTGACGAAATTACCCTATTTTTGACCATGTAGCGGTAGTTTAATTGTGACACTGTTAACATATTACCACCTGATAATGATTTATGTGACTGGTGCATGGTACTAGCAGTGTTGTTTGATCCATAGTACGTATAATATAAGGGGTTTAAGCTGGTATATCATTATTTGTTCAATTTCACACATGTTCAGATATCATCAAGATTATGTGACAAAGTAAGCTTGGTTGTGCCTTCTGTGTTTTAATTCCTTACGACTATATGATATAATAACAATTCCCAGCACTTCCAGGCCATCAAATAAACTGACACTACTCAGCATTGCTTATCAGGGTGCCCTAAACATTCATCACATAATTTCTTTAATGTGTGACAGAGTAAACCTGAATGCACCATCTAACGAAAAAAGTCGTCAAATATGTAGGTAATGGTCAATGGTCATATGTACCCATCCAATCAACTGGACATTCAAAAATTTGGTCAAAAACGGCAGCAAGGGGTCCATATTTACTCCGTCACATGTTTATATCAAGAAGTTGAAGAACTACAAGAGTGCTGGAATTGATGAAATTTCAAATGAGCAGTTAAAGTACGGTTCTCCTGGACTTCTGCCTTGGTTAAAGGATCTTTTTGAATCTGTGTGGAAAAGTGAGGATATTCCTAATGATTGGAGAAAAGGAATAATCACCATCATCCCAAAGAAAGGGGACCTCACATATTGCAACAATAACAGAGGTATAACTTTACGCTCAACTATATCAAAGTTATTCCAAATTGTATTGTTAAAAAGACTGAGTAATGGGCTTGAAAAATTACTCAGAGAGAATCAGTGTGGTTTCAGGAGAAACCGTTCTTGTATAGATCAGCTGTACTCACTTCATTGTATAATACACAATTGTATAGAATTCAACGTCCCTTTGTACATAAACTTTATTGATTTTAAAGCTGCTTTTGATTCAATCAATCGTGACTTTATTTGGAAAGCTTTTGAACATTATGGTCTTCCGACAAAATATATCAATGTTTTCAAAGCGTTCTTTAGAGCAACTGAAAGTGCAGTTCGTGTCAATGGAGAATTGACAAGATGGTTTGATGTCGATTCGGGGACTGGACAAGGTGATGTGCAAGGGCCCCATATTTTTAATCTTGTACTTAACTGGGGATTAGAACTTGCAGAGAAGTTTAAGAATATATCCCGTGGTTTTACACTTCAGTACAGACAAAGTTCCAGACAACCGGAAAAATGTGTCATTGATCTTGACTATGCTGATGACATCGCAGGAATGGATGACACTGTTGAAGGACTGCAAGAAACTACGGACAATATTGCGAAATACTGTGGACTTGGGGGTTTAAAGATGAACGCAAAGAAAACAGAGATCATGGTCATTGGGAAAGATACATCGCAGCACCCACTCCCAGAGAATAGGACCATAGATATAACTGTCGATGGAAATTCTGCAAAGCAGGTCACTCAATTCACTTATTTGGGTGCCAAAATTACATCAGATGGCAAGATTGATAAAGAAATAAGTGTCAGGATTGGAAAAGCAACCGGAGCTTTTAACCAACTTAACAACATTTGGAAGAATAAGAACATAAGCATTAACAACAAAGTGCGAATCTACATCGCAGCTGTTCTTACCATTCTGACCTATGGATGTGAGATATGGAACACGACTCAAGTGCAGACAAGAAGATTGGAGTCTTTCCATCAGTACTGCTTAAGAAGAATCCTGAGAGTGAGGTGGTTCCATCGAGTAAGTAATGAGGATGTTTTAAGAAGGGCATCAATAACTGCCCTTGCTGACATAATAACAACAAAACGGCTGCGTTGGTTTGGACATGTCAGTAGAATGCCTGAAGATCGGTTGCCCAACTATTTACTTGAATGGAAACCCAAGCATGGGAAGAGATCAAGAGGCAGGCCTAGGAAGAGCTTAAATGATGTATTCATTGAGGATGCTGAGCAGAGATTGGATCGTTATGGACTCACGATTGATTGTATGAGAAGATTAGCTGCAGACCGAAAGGGATGGAGAAATGTTACCCGCCGAAGTTGTATAATACAAAGTAATGACGCAGTCGACGCAGACTAATCCTTTTGGATGGAGATCTCGCCATGTAACATGTATGTAACATGTTTATAGTGTGACAATGTAACCATTTCCGTGCCGGCCGTATTTAAGCGATATCTTATCACCTGATTAAGATATCGTTATGTGACAAAGTTAGCCTGGAGGATGAGACGATTATCCTAACCATCAAGGGTTTAAGTAATTTCATAGTGTGACAAAGTCAACTACACTGTGCCTTTTAATCGGGTCACTTATATTTACCAATATCCTCAAACTCAAATGAACGTGTCCATATATTAATAATATTCTGGTGTTTGAAAGTAATTAACAGACCAAACAGCCAGACAGTAAATTAGCACTAAATGATGTTAAGTAATTATATTATCATGTTATACCAGAACACACTGGAATCCATGTGTACACACTGGAATCCATGTGTACCAGAACACACTGGAATCCATGCCTCTTTTCACCTGCAGATTGTGCCTATTGGGAAGTCACGACTGTGAGGAGCCGAAGAAAAAGGCAACGAGTATGAGTGAAACAAATCCAAAAGGATTTGTCTGGATGTGCCACGTGTGTCTGGAAAAGAATGAATTGGAGGATATGCTGCTTTCATCAAACCCTCCAAAACAAGGCTCACTGAAACTGATTCCGAAACAAGCACTTAGTGCTAGTGTCGACAAACTGGACACTATTACAGAGTCAGAGGAAAATACAGGTAAAAGTGACCATGAGATTGAAAGTGAAGAAGAAAAAGCAGAGTCATCAGAGAGGATAAGCCCACGAAGAGGTCGTGATGAGACAAGGGAGACGAGGGAGAGGAATCCCAATACCTCAGGGCACAAGAAAGAACAAATCTGTGAGCTCTTCAAGAAAAGGGCATGCCCACATGGACGAACTGGCAAAGTCCTTGTAGACGGCAAAACCTGTGAGAGGAGCCACCCTAAGAGATGTTACAAGTTTTGCGACTTTGGGGCCAAGCATCAGAATGGGTGCAAGAAAGGTAAAAAGTGCCTATACTGGCATCCCAGAATATGCAAGTTTTCCATTAAAAACATCAGATGTGAAGACGATCAATGTACCTTTCAACACCTGGTATTTACCCGCAACGGTCCTGGCCACGGAAAAGAAGAAGAACGAGAGACTTACAGACGAGTAGAAAATACTACTGAGCCCTACAGACGAAATGCGCTTCCCAAATTCAGCATTGCTTCGTCAGGATACACTACGTATCCCCCAACCATCAACAAGCCACGAGTAGAAATCCAAGAGAAGAAGACTGCCCAAGATGAGTCTTTTTTATTGAAGCTCATCGAGAACATGAAGGCTGGTTTTCAGGAACAAATCGATGGCCTGAGAAACGAGATTATCATCGGGAGGGGGAAAGAGGTCCAACGCCAACCGATTCCCCAGCAACTGAACCCCACGGAGCTACCATGCCACCCCACAACTCGAGCTTTTCCGGGACTGCACCCGCCCATCCCATACCCGTACATGATGGCACCACAGTGGTTCAGCCAGAACTTTCCACCATTGTCCTCTTAAATGGACAGAGCGTATCTCCGGCAGCTACTAGCAGCTCTAGATGGAAACTACCCTACATCCAGGAAACCATCATCGAAGGAAGTAGCTGCCCCCCACCATTCATAGCCATAACCGAGTCATGGCTAAAGAGTTACATCTCTGACGCTCAGGTGCAGATAAAAGACTATCAATCGTTCAGATCTGATAGACCAGAGAGAGTAGGAGGAGGTTGCCTCCTCTATGTTCATGACCAGCTAGTGGTAACAGAAACCGATCACTACGAGGATAGAAGCAATAACATGGTCATGTGCTATGTTAAGTCATGCAACACCCTTTTTGCTACTGTCTACAGGCCCCCTGGAGCAGATACTTCAGGCTGGAAGAACTTACTAGACAGACTGCAAGCCAAAATAGACGCGATCTCAGAAAATACAACGGTGCCAGACATATACGTTGTTGGAGATTTCAACTATCCAGAGATAGACTGGGAACATGGAGGCTTAAGAAGTGAAGCCAGGTGTCTTGATTTTATAGAGTTTATAGACCGCAACTTTCTAACACAGGTCGTAAACCAGTCGACAAGAGAAGGTAGCACCCTAGATCTTGTACTTACAAATGTTCCTAGGTATGTCGCAGAAGTAAAGGTGAACCCCACATCTTTATCAGACCACAGCTTGGTCGAAATTCAGCTTGGTTTTAATATGACTGGAAGAAAGAAGAACGAAACCAGCAAGATCGACCCAAACTCTTTCAGGGCAGTTGACTATCACAAAGCCGATTTTGTGGCAATCAGTGATTGCCTTCAGAAAGTCGACTGGCTGAAGCTCTGGGAACTCTGTGACGAGGACTTGAACGCTTTTCTGGAATTGTTCAAGCTAACAGTGCTCCAGATTACCTTGGAGTTCTCCCCAAAGAAAGAGAGTGCAGCGGAGATTACCTCAAGAAAGAGAAGAGGGAATAAGCACGTTTATGTCATGAAAAGAAGACGAAGGAAGATGAATGCTAGGATACGTGCATTACAGGAAATAAATCCTAGCTCGAGTTTAATCCCTAAACTGAAAACGGAGGTTTCACTGCTGTGTTACTCCATTCAGGAAGGGACCCTTGAGAAACTGAACAAAAAAGAACTCCGGGCAGTCGATGCAATAAAGAAGAACCCCAAATACTTCTTTTCGTATGCCAAGCGTCTCCAGAAGACCAGATCTACGATCCCGGTGTTGAGAGATGAGACTGGGGCATTAGTGGAAGACCCCAGCATCAAGGCAGAGTTACTTCAGAAGCAGTACCAGAAGGTATTTAGTAACCCTATGAGTGCCGATATTGATGAATGTATGAAGAGCCAAGGATTACCTCAGGGACTGGATTCCGGATTCAACGAGCTAAGCTTCACAAGAAAAGATATCATTGAAGCATTAGGAGAACTGGATCCCTATTCGGCCGCACCTGACGGGGAGATTCCTGCTAGGATACTCACAGCCTGCAAAGAACAACTTGCAGACCCGCTAACACTCCTCTAGCAGGAATCGTTCAGCAGTGGGTATATACCAGCGGAATTAAAGACCCAATATATCACCCCTATCTATAAAAAGGGGGACAGAACGGACCCAGCAAACTATAGACCAGTGTCTTTAACCTCGCACATCATAAAGACATTTGAGCGTGTAATCAGAAAAAACCTGGTTCGTCATTTGGAAGAGAACATGATGATCAATGCGAACCAGCATGGGTTCAGAAAAAAGAGGAGTTGCATGACGCAGCTTCTCAGTCACATCGAACAGATCTACAAATCACTCAACAATGATGAAGAAGTTGATGTGATTTACCTCGACTTTGCCAAAGCTTTTGACAAGGTCGACCATGCAGTGCTGCTAGCCAAGCTTGGTCGATACGGAATTGGTGGTCAGGCTTTAAGGTGGATCAAAGAGTTTTTGCTAAACAGAAAACAAACAGTCGTTGTTGAAGGTCGCAAATCATCCTTCCAGCCAGTGGCAAGTGGGGTGCCACAAGGGACAGTCCTAGGACCGATCCTATTTATCCTGTACATCAACGATCTGTTGAACAGCATTAGCTATAGTAACGGATTCAGCTTTGCAGACGACACAAAGCTGATTGGGGCTATCCGAGGAATGAGTAGTGTGGAGTTACTGCAAGATGATCTCAACATAGTCATCGAGTGGTCACGTGTTAACAACATGGAGCTACACGAACAGAAGTTTGAGGTTGTAAACTACCCCCTGAATGGATCAAAAGCTCTAAGAGAGCTCCCGTTCTACCCAGAGACTGTTGAGTATACTACACCAAAAGGACACGCAATATCACCACAGGAAACTGTCAGAGACCTTGGAGTGTATGTTAGCAGCAGTAGGTCATGGGGTCCTCACATCGAGAAGACAGTTCAAGGAGCTAGAAAAATGGCGGCTTGGACATTGAGTGCCTTTAGAGACCGGTCACAAGTAGTCATGCTGACTTTATACAAAAGCATGGTTCGCTCCAAGCTAGAGTACTGCTGTCCAGTCTGGAACCCTACAAAAGTCACAGAGATACAAAAGCTGGAGACTGTACAGAGATCCTTTACTAGAAAGATATCTGGCTGCCGTGATCTCCAGTACTGGGACAGGCTGAAGAAGCTTAAGTTGATGTCCCTTCAGAGGCGGAGAGAGCGTTATTCTATTATTCATGTATGGAAAATTCTTACTGAACATGCTCCGAACGATACGGGTTTCGAGTTCAAGTCTCATCAAAGGCATGGTATTAAGGCAGAGATCCCAGCCATGAACAAAAACGCACAGTTGTCGGTAAGAACAGATTACGACAACAGCTTTAGAGTTAAAGCAGCTCAGCTCTTCAACGTGCTCCCATCGGAGCTCCGGAGTATCACATTGCTAGACAGTTTCAAAGTTGGTCTAGGCAGATTTATGGAACAGTACCCAGACACACCACCGGTTCCGGGATACACTCCGACAAACGATAACTCAATGCTGAGCTGGAGGAGGACGCACTCGATGCAGTTGTCCTGAGCACGCCCTGCCAAACTCACCAAAACGTACCAAAACGTACGTACATTTTAGTCATGCAATCGTGCCAAAAAACACGTATGACGTATGTTTCTTATAAAAACTTGTTAAAATTGGTTACAATTTGGTTAAAATTGTGTCTTTACATGCATCAGTTAAATAACATGCGAGGTCACAATTTTAACAAACATACGTGTTATGTTTTTTGTAGATCATTCATTGGCAGAAAAACAAAATACTAATACGGGCGAACAAATTCTCTCCAACCAGTTAATAATAGATAGAAGATCTCCAAAGTAATATATTATTAATTTCAGAACATTTGCCCCTACATTACTGAACTACCATCCCTACCCTGCTCGGAGATCGTCTACTTCTCTTTTGCACTTTATGTTCTCGAATCAATCGGTTACTTTGGATTTTTCGTGCTGGCTACACTACTGAGCTGGAATTTCAAGTTCCAGGTACGTTGGGTTGATTTGGTTTTCAGAAATTGTTTTTTTAACATACTGGTTTATGTAAAAAGAGTAAAATATTGAATTAAACAAATAATCACTTATTCAATTTTTATATTAAAGCGTATACCTATTAATTCAATTGATATGCACACTGTACGTGATAGATAAGATAAACAATTACCCAATTTCAGATTGGAAACTACATCGAACCGGTGCTTGTGGAAATAAGAGACATTAAGTACATATTTGCAGCAGCAAAAAGTAAAAGGTTATCATTTTAAAACTTTTAAAGCCCACCCTGGAAAGTTCCTCATTTATTTGAGAGAATTATTGATGTAATGTTTTTGCTTACTTTAAAAACAAAGTTCAAGTTTGTCTGAAATTTGAAGTTGGTATTTTTTAGTGTAAAAGAGCAAAGAAGTGCTGGGTTGGATCTGGCGAACCTAGCCGCTTCCAGTGTAGACAACAAGTTCGCTTTAGTTGCTGAGGGAGGGTAAGTTTTATTTTTCAATATCTCAGACATGTGTCCTATTTACATCATTTGATCCTCGTATTCTTATTTTGCGTCACAGTATAAAGTAAATTGTGATAGTGTTAGCTTCACGTGAGCCATTAATACACTTACAAGACACTTTGCCTCCTATCAGCCATGCCACATATGCGCTACTGTGAACTAATTAGGTAAACATGACCGCACGCGCGGACGCCGAATGTATCATTTGATAACTAAGTTTTTACAAGGTGCAGCCAGTGTAACAAGTATCATGCATGGCGCGCGCGAGCCTGGCTAGCTATACTATAACAATTAAAATACTCCAGTAGCAGGGAGGAGTTGAGTGTGCACTTCGATGTATAGAGTTTTTTGCTGCTGAATCGGGTTAAATAGGTCATTGGTAACTCAAAAAATCGAGGGCCGCATGTTGTGTCGCTAGTCCCAACCCTGTGGAGCCACGCCCATATTTCATATCAGGTGCGTATATGGGAAATATTTATCTCAGCTTCTGAAGGTCTTAGAGACTCAAACTTGAGTTTAAAATGACCGCAATGCACATGCTTATATTGGTACTATGAAGGTCATGAAAGCCCAAAATGCTTATTTTTGGAAAAAATTCAGAAAAACCAATTTTCACTTGGGCGGGAGTAAAAAAATCTACACTAGAAATTGAGTGAAAATCGAGTAAGCAGCTCAGTGTCTACAACATTTCTAGGCACAGGGTCCTCTGTTAGGTCATTCTAAATCAGAATTGATAAAGTAATCAAATTCTATTAGTAGTTTCAACCCTGTGGAGCCACGCCCATATTTCATGTTATGTGCGAATATGGGAAATTTGTATCTCAGCTTCTGAATGTCTTAGAGACTCAAAACTGGGCTTAAAATGACCGCAATGTACATGTTTATATTGGCACTATGAGGGTCATGAAGGCCCAGAATGCTTATTTTTTGGAAAAATCAGTAAAACCGATTTTCACTTGGGCGTGAGTAAAAATCGACTCTTAGAAGTTAAGTGAAATCGAGTATGAAGTTCAGTGTCTGCAACGTTTCTAAACACAGGATCCTTTTTAAGGTAATTCTGAATCAGAATTGATAAGGTACGCAAATTCTATTAGTAGTTTTAACTCGGCTTCTGAAGTTCTGAACGTTGTAGGGGCCTCTCTTTGAGCTCAAACTAACTACGATGGCCACATTTATATACCAACTGTAAAGAACCGTAGGGTCTATACTCTATAGTGCTTAGTTTTTAAAAACTCATTAAAAACTGTTTTAACCTTCATGCATCATAAAGTAGTAACATCAAACATGTACTTAATTATGGTATCTCGGGCTAAAAAAGTCTCATAGACATTTGCAGCACAGTAAAACGTTCAACATGAACACATTCGGATAACATTTATGGAGCAGCACATACCACCTAACTTTAATTTTGGTATAACTGCGAAAATACTCAGTTTCAGAAGCTCCTTCCAGCTATCTTAGGCTGCCTTCAGCTCCCTCTCTGGGGCTCTCTCCAGTACTGCTTGGCTATTATGGCTAATCAACTTGAATCCAACCTCATGTAGCAGAATCTACTTCTAGCTACCTTCTGCTAACTCCATGTCAACTCTACCCAGCTACCACCACCAGTACGTTATAATTTTAGATCTTTCTAGCAACTTCTGATATGAGTGCTATCTCTGCTGCATCCAACAATTTCCAGCTCATTAAGGAAGAGGAAATTTGCTGTTTCTAGCAACCTCTAAACGCCAGAATAAAATGTTGCTGATGGTTGCTAGACTTGGCAAGAAGTAGCCCACTAGCTTAAGCTAAGGTTGCTAGAAATAGCAGAAGTTGGAGGAACCTTGGTGGTAGCTAAATAGAGGTAGCCGAAGTAGGTGAAAACAGCTGGAATTGGTGGTTTCTGCCATCTGGTGGTATAGTAGCTGGATAGAGGAAGAGGTAGCACTCATATCAGAGGTTGCTAGAAAGATCTAAAATTATAACGTACTGGTGGTGGTAGCTGGGTAGATTTGACATGGAGTTAGCAGAAGGTAGCTAGAAGTAGATTCTGCTACATGAGGTTGGATTCAAGTTGATTAGCCATAATAGCCAAGCAGTACTGGAGAGTATTTTCGCAGTTATACCAAAATTAAAGTTAGGTGGTATGTGCTGCTCCATAAATGTTATCCGAATGTGTTCATGTTGAACGTTTTACTGTGCTGCAAATGTCTATAAGACTTTTTTTAGCCCGAGATACCATAATTAAGTACATGTTTGATGTTACTACTTTATGATGCATGAAGGTTAAAACAGTTTTTAATGAGTTTTTAAAAACTAAGCACTATAGAGTATAGACCCTACGGTTCTTCACAGTTGGTATATAAATGTGGCCATCGTAGTTAGTTTGAGCTCAAAGAGAGGCCCCTACAACGTTCAGAACTTCAGAAGCCGAGTTGAAACTACTAATAGAATTTGCGTACCTTATCAATTCTGATTCAGAATTACCTTACAAAGGATCCTGTGTTTAGAAACGTTGCAGACACTGAACTTCATACTCGATTTCACTTAACTTCTAAGAGTCGATTTTTACTCACACCCTAGTGAAAATCGGTTTTACTGATTTTTCCAAAAAATAAGCATTCTGGGCCTTCATGACCCTCATAGTATAGTGCCAATATAATCATGTACATTGCGGTCATTTTAAGCCCAGTTTTGAGTCTCTAAGACCTTCAGAAGCTGAGATACAAATTTCCCATATTCGCACATAACATGAAATATGGGCGTGGCTCCACAGGGTTGAAACTACTAATAGAATTTGATTACTTTATCAATTCTGATTTAGAATGACCTAACAGAGGACCCTGTGCCTAGAAATGTTGTAGACACTGAGCTGCTCACTCGATTTTCACTCAATTTCTAGTGTAGATTTTTTTACTCGCGCCCAAGTGAAAATTGGTTTTTCTGAATTTTTTCCCAAAAATAAGCATTTTGGGCTTTCATGACCTTCATAGTACCATTATAAACATGTGCATTGCGGTCATTTTAAGCCCACCTTTGAGTCTCTAAGACCTTCAGAAGCTGAGATACAAATTTCCCATATTCGCACATAACATGAAATATGGGCGTGGCTCCACAGGGTTGAAACTACTAATAGAATTTGATTACTTTATCAATTCTGATTTAGAATGACCTAACAGAGGACCCTGTGCCTAGAAATGTTGTAGACACTGAGCTGCTCACTCGATTTTCACTCAATTTCTAATGTAGATTTTTTTACTCGCGCCCAAGTGAAAATTGGTTTTTCTGAATTTTGTCCAAAAATAAGCATTTTGAGCTTTCATGACCTTCATAGTACCAATATAAACATGTGCATTTCGGTCATTTTAAACTCAAGTTTGAGTCTCTAAGACCTTCAGAAGCTGAGATAAATATTTCCCATATACGCACCTGATATGAAATATGGGCGTGGCTCCACAGGGTTGGGACTAGCGACACAACATGCGGCCCTCGATTTTTTGAGTTACCAATGACCTATTTAACCCGATTCAGCAGCAAAAAACTCTATACATCGAAGTGCACACTCAACTCCTCCCTGCTACTGGAGTAAAAGGTCAATATTTAGTTTTGGCAATCTGTTTTTGAATTCAGTATGTGTAGTTAATATTCTTCAGATTACAGGTCCTGATAGACCTAGCATTATCAGAAGATGAAGGTATCCGAGGATATGCAATTGAAGCTATTTCAGAACTCCTCACCATAAAATCTATTCAGGTTTGGAAAAGTTTTGAACTTTCTTTTGGTTAAAGGAAAGTCTTTTATGTTTTAGTTAAAGGCATACCATTTGAAAGTTTGCGCATCAAATTCACAACTTTATAAACTTACGGGTATCGGCCTTACAAAATGACACGAAAAAGGAGATGGCTCTGAAATGCACAAAAATGAGTTTTGTTCATGTTTTATTATCCAGATAGGTAGTTCAACAGGTATATTTTTCTTCCCGGGGGTTGATTTGATTGAAAAACCGTAAATTTTGCGATAAAAATTGTCATCTTTGAAATCTTCCAAAAAAACATGCCTTACAAAATGACAATTTCGTCACGGCTGTCATTTTTTAACAGCAGCCTATAGCAATTTGATTTCACCTAGGACAGTTAGATAAATATAATAGATTGAAGATTATCATTAGCTTTTACAGGAAAAAGGATGATTAAACAAAGTTGGGCAATTTCACGTGAGATAGTGCCTTACAAAATGACAACCCAAAACGGCATCACTTCAAATCCGATTTGGGAAAAAGTTTCATTATTCTTTCACGTGTCTTACTGTTAGATATATATGTTGTTTATATTATACCAGTTCTGTTTTTACCAGAATATATTAAAAAAGGAACATTTTTTATACTTTGAAAAATTTTTAAAAATGTCATTTTGTGAGGCGTAAAAATCATTTTTTGTTTTCATACTTGAACACAGTATTTGGTTATATTTGATATTTTCTATGACTGGATAGATCACTTTTCAGTGTTTAGTTAACGTTTGACATGTTTTAGGAGTTTTTATTACTCTCTGCTTTCACAAAATAGAAGCTTTATTTTGTTGAGATTTGAAATCAGAGTTTGAAATCAAAGAGTTTGAAATCAAAGTTTTGATATCAGAACTGCACTTTTGTAATGCTACTTGATTGTTAACTGTCAGATTTTGATTATTTTTAACTCCTTCTTGTATTGACTGCTTCTGATCCATTTTAGATGCTGAAAGTAATTCAATCTGAGACATTGTCATTTTGTAAGGCTTTTCGGTGTCATTTTGTAAGGCATTTTGATCAAAATTGATGATCAAACAAACACATTTAGGCTCATCATAAGCTTACTGGGTTTAAGAATACCAATAATTAGGCAAGGGGCATCCAATATAAATATGCCATCTTTGTGTCATAAAATAAAACTGTCATTTTGTGAGGCATAACACTGTCATTTTGTGAGGCTAGGTCATTTTTTTGTCATTTCTTCTACCAAAGTCACTAAATCAGTTTTTTTATTCGACCAGAGTAGTCTTTGATTGATATAAGTCATGGTAGTACATGGTTTTCTGGGGTTAAATTCTAAACTTTGGTCTCCATTCTGGGTAACAGTTAGGCGGGGCAATGACTGAACAGCAAAAACGTTCATATTTATGTAAGAAATATAGATTCTATGTCATTATCATTCCTTGGGAAGTGTTAATTAATGCTTTTTCTTTCATACAGTAAAAGGAATAGGGTTCAATGTATAGGGAACCTAAGATACAGCATGGTCTTTGTGGACTGTCATTTTGTGAGGCCTGTCATTTTGTAAGGCCGATACCCGTACAACTAAGAAAACAACTGCAGTCTGCAGCTATAAAAGTATAAAATATCTGAAGACCGTAATAAATTAGAAAGTAATAAAATTAGAAACGTACTGTAACTTGTATTACAGTATATATTATATACAACTTGTAAAACATGGAGAAAACGAGAACAGAGAGCTCTTATTCAAAACTAGAGTAAATAAATAGTAAATCACCACGTAACTTATAAAGCTACGACACAATGTTCGAAAATGTACACTGTACAAGAAATCATTACACTTCAATTACCAAATATGGTTGAAATACTTTCTCTTGTATTCTGAACTATTTGTTTCAGAACGAGTTTGTTGAAATAGGAGGAGTGAACACACTAATGTTCGCTCTACACTCCACTGATACCCACATAGTTAAAGAGAGCTTGCTGGCTATTTGTCAACTTTGTCAAGATAACGAGGATGTTATGGTTCATGTGCTCGGTGAAAATGGGTAAGTTTTTGTATCTTAAACATCACTTTCAGACCCTCTGTCTCACTATCGTGTATAAATAACTTGGGGGCAAAATGAGATACCATTGTGGCAGAAGCTAAGCGCACTGGCTGTTTACAGCAAAGCATGTTAAAACAACCTCTAAAAATACCGAATAAGTACAGAAAAGTAACCCTCCTCACTTGCCTGCAGGATGGATGACCTGTGTCACGTGATCAACACATGTAGGATGGACTGTGTCAGACTTGTAGCGGGCATCTTCCTTGATGTTAGCTTCTGTGATAATTTACGGGGGGAGCTACTGAAACATAGGAAATACGGTACATTATAAACTGTCGTCATAGTGATAGTGTTATTTTAAGAAATTTTAAGGCATTTTCCTTTTATAATTTACTTTCGCTATCGAATTAGCTTTGCCTTTCACTTTCCCCTTCACTTTCCCTTTCATTTTCTCTTTCTTCAGTGCCAGTATTTGAACGGATGATCAGGTGTTCTGACGCTATCACCCAACAACTTTGTTTACAAACACTAGAGATGATAGCCCTTACTTCACCTGCAGCTATCACAGCTCATACATCCTTTATTGCTGTGAGTTAACCTTTTAAATATTTTAGGAGACTTCAGAAACTTCGGAAGTTTTTGTGATTCAAAGGTCGACAATTTTGTTTGATTATAAGAATGTTTGAAATTAGAGTATTGATGATATCGGAACAGTTTTATATCACGTTAACTACTATCTCGCAGTTTATTATTTAGCTTTCAAGCAGTATATTATTTTGTTTTCTATATTCTTTCAGACTTTTACTTAAGTCTAGTTATACATTACTTTATCATATTTTGTCGAACTAAGGTGTAGTATTGCCAGATCCCAGTTCATTTTGTAACGGAGTTTTATATTAACAGGAAACGATGTAACAGAGTCGATATATTTTAATGTTGCCATGGGGTGGCAAGTCCCTATACATCGTGGTCCGGTAGTTTCATTGCGTCCTAATATGTGACTTATTTCAGCCGTTGTTAGCGAGCATCAGTAAAGGGTCTGACGTTCAAGTGAAGACGATATCAGCAAAACTTCTACTTTACTTCGTGGATAATACCGAGGTGATTATTTAATATTCAATAATTTAACTGATCATGGCCGGGTGGTGTAGTGGTAATTCACTCGCCTCCCAAGCGGAAGACCGGGGTTCAAACCCCGTCTGAGGCAGGCAGGCCAGGTCACCAAGCTGTGATTGGTACAGGATTTATCCTGGTAATTATGCTCGGAGGATATCAGTGACGCGATTCCCACTACAGTGTAAGCTGCAGTGTAGCTGTAAAGTCTACCGCCATTCGGAATGAGTGTGAACTTGCTTACCAGGCAATCATGATTTCCGCTTGGTTCTCATCAGGTCTCTAAGAAAGCCAACAGTGTGCTGATATGCACTGTCATATGTACTTCCTAGAAGCAGCACACGGCCCATTTCGGACTTGCACGAGTTATAATTTTTTTTTTTTTTTTAACTGATCATAATATAATGTTTAACTAAGTTTTACTATTCAATATTCGCGATTGCATTACTAGACAATTATAAATTGAACTTCAAACCTTGATTTACACATAGTTATAAAATCTTAATTTTTCAAAACCCAGACGATGAAAGATGTACTGAAGTGCAGTGTGGACATTAAAGAAGTTCTGCTTAAACTGGTTACCAACCAGGATAATATTATGCAGTGTGTTGCCGCAAAGATCCTCTTTCTATTGGTGGAAAATGACAGGTAGTTATGGAAACTGGTGAATTATACGGTCAAATTTTTGTTCAGAATCTTTCAAAAGTCAACTGATAACCGCGTCAGCTGTTATTAATTGCAAGATAACAACATTTGCTATCTGTGCAAAAACAACATTAAAAAAATCACTTATTCGCTGTTAAGCTAGCTAGCTTGCCGACCAGGTTGGATGATATAAGTCAATAACATAATATGCTATCATTCACTTATTCACATATTCACCAGGGAGTTGCTGTATGATGACAGAACTATGGATCTGGTCCAGTCTCTCAGAATAAACGCAGTTGACCAGGAGGCCTGGATGTTGAGTGACAAGATCCTGGTAATGAGGGACGGGGTTAGTGTACAGTAAAACTCCGATTTACTGCACCCCGATATACTGCAGCTGTTTTCTTCCCCAAAGCCAAACTCCGCGGAAAATCGGGGGTTAGTGACACAAGATAACCGCTCCACTCTGATGACTGTGATCACTACTATTATATGAGTTTTCTTTACGGAGACAACAAATTACTTTTTGCGTTCAGTAGCCCCCGTGAAAAGCTAAGGTATAGAGTGATTACTCAGTAAGAGTAGAGAACGCTTAAGTTCCACTTTTTGCATGTCGAGTAGATTTGCGATGCCTCATATAGACTACTGAGATACAGTATGGTTTGCTGTGCTACTTTAGATACATACCCAACAATATTATATTCATTGTTAGCTTTTTATTGATTTGATATTTGACCCAGAATTGAGTTTACAATTAGTAGTCGTTTGCAACCATGATTTTTATTCTTATTTATAAAGTTTATTTTAATATTTTATAGACTGTTGTATTTTTAAATGAGAAATTGACTGGCGAATTAATCAATTAGAACTGTGACTGTGTCAGATCAGGCTTAATTGAAATATGAGTTGTAAATAATAAATTGTAGATTAAACTAACATATTTCTATTTAATGTAGCTGATATTGAAGTCTTTAATTTGTTTTTGATAATTTTCAAGGGGACCAGAGATCAGAATTATAGATATTGGAAGAATGAATAATCATAGCAAGTGTCAGCAGACCAGTTGGAAACAATTTGGTATCTGGAAACATCTTGATTGAAAATTGCAAGACTTTTCCTAAGCTAATTAAAGTAAAAATAAAACATTACTTACTTTAAGATAAAAACAATACTTCTACTATTACTGACATATAAATTTTGATATACCTAAAGCTAAACAGATTTAAAGATATAAATTAATTCAATTTAAAACGTTTGATAAAAAGACAAAAATCCACTAACAGTAATACTTCTATCAATTGCCGTTATAAACGGAAAACAAGTCAAAATTCCCTTTAAAAGCTCAATTGTTTAATCAAAGTCCTGCTTCCAGCTGGAAATTCGGATGGTTGTATGGATTAAAACATTTTGGCGGATACGTTGTATTCGCATTATCTGTTAATAAGTATTGTCAAAACAATAGCTGGATTTATTATTTAATTATTTATTTAGGTTATACCAGTTCAATTAACTCATTAAATATCATAATTGTGGCACTCTAGGGGCAGTATGAACCGCATTAACAGTCATCACTCCAAAGACCAGTCGACAAAAACCCTCCTCTCGTCTGAAGATAAGAAGGCACTAAAAAGTTCAAATAAAAAATGCATCAATAGCATCATCATCATATTCCCTCAACAACATCACACTGAAATTCTTAAGACATTCCAGTTGTAGTTCTGAGAAACTGAGGTTGGGCTGAATCTCTCTCAGGTTTTGCAATGCCTGTAACAGTGATGATTATTTAACCGTTTTTTATAATTATAATTAATAACAGTGCAGATAAATAAGCTGATACCTATATTATGTGGATTCTGGTGGGGAGGCGAAGCATTTGACACGTGACAGTGATTCTGGGGCTTGATTGGTAAATGCTCAATGGTGGATGCTGATTGGCTAATTACTGTCAAGTGTCAAAATATATGATTCACCTCCCCACCAGAATCCACATCTTTACAGTATACAATAAACATACATACATACATTGTACACATTGTATACATTGATTACATTGTATACTGTATACTGTATACTGTATACGCTGTATACAATGTATACGTTACCTGTTTAACAGAGAAACTGTGATTGCTCATCAAATAACATGCCATCAGAACTGCACTTCTGCAGGCTTTACTGTAGCTCCTTATAAACGTCTTGCCTGTATATAATACGATTAGTAAGTTAGCTACTTATTATAGGACGTGTAACTAGAGGAAATGCTACTGTATAGTTTATGCCCTAGATCAGACATCACTTGAGGGTTCACAAAAGAGCGCATCCTTATTGGCAGAAAAATGTATCTTTGATGCAGATAATAAGAAATAAGTTTGTCTCTAAACTAAGCCTTATTACTAATTATCCAATTCTAATTATATTTTATTATTATTCCCTAACCGCCGTTGTCGAACGTTTCCTCAATAAACTCCAGAGCTATGGATATCTGAGCCATGTTTGGGGGAACTTTACTGTTTGGTGTGTGGAACTCAAGATGTTTCCTTCCGTTCCTGGTCCACCTGGTGAGCAGTTAGTTAAGGTGTGGTGTGGTGTGGTGTGGTGTGGTGTGGTGTGGTGTGGTGTGGTGTGGTGTGGTGTGGTGTGGTGTGGTGTGGTGTGGTGTGGTGTGGTGTGGTGTGGTGTGGTGTGGTGTGGTGTGGTGTGGTGTGGTGTGGTGTGGTGTGGTGTGGTGTGGTGTGGTGTGGTGTGGTGTGGTGTGGTGTGGTGTGGTGTGGTGTGGTGTGGTGTGGTGTGGTGTGGTGTGGTGTGGTGTGGTGTGGTGTGGTGTGGTGTGGTGTGGTGTGGTGTGGTGTGGTGTGGTGTGGTGTGGTGTGGTGTGGTGTGGTGTGGTGTGGTGTGGTGTGGTGTGGTGTGGTGTGGTGTGGTGTGGTGTGGTGTGGTGTGGTGTGGTGTTGTGTGGTGTGGCGAGGTGAGAGAGTGTTCTCTTAATCTAACCTGTGTTCTTTGTAATAAGTATGCTGACAAGGCATGTTAAAGGAAATAACAGATGCATAATTCCCAGTGTTTTGAGATTGCTGGCTAGGACTGAAGTACACTATGTCGTCATCTATAAAGGTTTTTGCAAGGGTTGTTATCGTGCTCGCGTTGGATTCTTTTCTTTTAATGCTGAAAATTGGATTCGGTTAATCGTTAGTCAACTATTTTGTCGGAAACTATCAAGCGAATGAATAAAAAGTTATGTTAAAAGTAAGGTGTTTAAAATCGTTGCTTTTTTATAGGATTTTCATTTCTCATCATGTTCAAGTTTGACGCACACTCAAAAGTAAATTAGTTAATTGCATCATTAGCCTATAATTAACCAGTATAACTAATTAATTAATTACTTAGATTGATGATGAAAGTTGCCCGAATCAATAAGTCCGGAGGGTAACAGGGTAGTAATACTGCTTAAAGAGCAAACAGAATCCTTCTTATAGAACTGTTTTTTCTCTGATAAGTAATCCTCCTCCTCCTCCTCGTTCTCCAAGCTAATCATAACGTGTAACTCTTGTAACTCTTACTACGATTATTACTTTAAATAAAGCCGACAAATTTAAACAAGGAAACATGACAGAAAAACAAACTTGTAAGATATACCCATAGCATTTACTATCGGTATAATATTTTACTATTAGTAGGACTACAAGCGTGATAGTACTGAGTTAAACTATATTCTACCGTTCCTTTTCTGGAGACAAAGGTTCATTGAAGCGAGGAACTTGCCCAAATGAGGGTGGTATGGAATCTGGTGAAACGTAGCAGAAGTAAAGAATCACAGCTGGAATCATTGCTGTAGTGTATTGCGGCTTCTCTTGCAGGAAGCCTCTTAATACAATACATCAATCACCAAAGATATTTGTCTGTGTTCTGTGTTGTATTAAATTATGCCTTTCAGATAATTTCGGTTCAGTTTTATCAATTTTAAGATTATAAAGTTATAAACGATAAGAATCGAGTTTGGGATTCGATTTGATAGTCACTTGCTCCAAAAACAGTACATTGCAAGACAAAATTGTATTGACAATTTACTACAAAGGCTGCCAAGTATATTCATAGAAAGATACAAATTAGACGAATTATTCGCTACTACTGCCAGAATAGAAAATTTGGACTAAATTAGAGCAAAATTGGGCAGGTTTTCAAGCATGAAATGTTATTAATTATATCAAGGTACATACGTAATAGCCTGCACTGCTTCGCTTCACAAGACTCAATTAGCCGTATTAAATTCCAATTATTGAGAAGCTAGCAGAATTCTTCCAGAATGGATCGTTAGATCAACACAGTACAAATAGCTTTATTTACCGCTAACATCACTTTTTTATAATTATTGTTTTAAACATTTCTGCTGTTGTCAGCTTAATTTTGAAGCATTTGATAATTAACTTGAATCAATATAAACTCGATGTGAACACACGTTGAAAGCCGCACAATGCATTATAATTATACAAATTTACAAAGTCACTCACAGCACAGCGAGCGTTCATGAAGTAAGGCCACGTCTATTTTACGGTTGGTTTTTACTGCCGAGGCTGAGGTTTTGTATTTGTATGAGAAAAAGCAGCTTGGCTATTTCAAATCAGCAGGATGCTCAATGCTTCTACGGTAAAAATAAACAAATCAAAAAAACCATGTAGAGTAAAATCGCGATTTACTGCGGACTTTGCGGTTACGGGAAAGGAAACAACCGCAGTAAATTAATGTAAGTATAATAGTAAAGATCATCTTGACACGAACACACGCACAAGCATATAAACCAACAAGGCTATTTGCTATTATCAGCAACTATCAGACTATGAGTACTATAGCCCCTCGTTTATTAGTCCGTCACATGTAATCTCATTAACCGTGCGATATTATCTGTATATAATTATAGCATAATGAACGGTAAACAATGAACCACACAGTACTGTTCCCCTGCGTGCAATGAACAATGTGCAACTACAATACACCGATCACAACATCTGCTCAGGTGACACAAGCATTCCTCAGTGTTGTGACTTTGTAAGCACAAGATATATACTTGACAATACCACCCACACCATACTGAGGGTGTGATCGTATTGTTTGAAGTGTGTACCAATTATAATGCATGTGTTGTGAGACGCCTGCACGGAGTATTGCCTTTAATTAATTAATTAATTGAACACGTGTCAGACTGTTTTATTTTTAATTCACCAGTGAAGCGAATATTAACAATTAAAGTTTAAAATTGAAGCTTAAAACTTACAGTTACGCGTTAATGACGATGGTACAGTTAAAATAACAAAGGCGTTTTAGTAAAGTGTAAGTTAAACGATTTATAAACTTTTACTTGTACGATAAGAAATATGACTTGTATAATGTTTTCAATTTATCGCGGTCAGCTTTACGTCAGCTGCCATTTAAACATCAATTTAAATGTTGAGAGGAATTATATCGTGGTTGAATTTTTGTGTATTAAGAATGAAATGACGCACAATTATTATATGACACCAAAAGCTGGTTTACTTTCAACTTTCAAGTTGAATTCCTTTTAAATTACAATTTAGTCATACTACTTGCCAGTGATTTAGTCTTATGGGAACCTACGCACGGTAGAGCACAGCAAGGCCGACCAAGACAAAGCTACTTGTCTATGTTACTGAAGGAAGTTGGGACAAACTCTAAAGAGGAACTGCGAACCCTGATGCGGGACAGGGATATATGGAGGGGGTTTTCTGGCGTAGATCGGACTTAGCTCCGACATAGTAGTAGTAGTCATACTCATAGTCATGCTCAAGTCATACTCATAGTGGCTTGAAAAAGCGTCGTCCAACATCTCAAAGAAACTGAATTAGATTCATAATTGCACATAATCGTGTTTTCATCTACTGGCTTCATAAGTGGTGAACAGTCCAAATTATAAAGAAGAAGAAAAAAGTAAAAATAGAAAATACAGACAAAATCTAAAAACAAAACGGGAGAACACACTACAATTACACTACTACACGTGTATTCAATATTGGCAACAAAACTTTTACTTATTTATACAAAATATTGAAAATGCACTAATAAGTAGCTACTCCAGTTCCGCCAAGTAATAAGCTAACAAGTTCATTCCGGCTGAGCCGTGGTAATACCATTGGTATGCAGTGTTGCCATGGTAATACCATTGGTATGCAGTGTTGCCATGGTAATACCATTGGTATGCAACGTTGTAATGCAATATAAATATAGAGCCTGTAGGAGTATTTTTGGGTATTTTGATATTGCCAATGTGATATATAGTTTGATACCGTACTAAATTAAGCATTGCTGTTGAAAGTTTCCAGTTAATGACTTCCAGATGTTGCCGAACCTTGAAGTTTTCGGGTTACATTATAGGAGGTTATTTGACCGGATCACGGATATTGCGTGAACGGGAATAATTTTAACAGAAATCAAAATGAACGAGCAAAGGCATTCAAAACCTTTAGAAATCCAAAAATTTGTCAAGTAAGTGGTGGTTACACAATACACAAAGGTATTTAAATCCTGTTTACACCTGTGAGAATGTATAATTACAAGCAATTCCCAGAATAGCTCAGGTACTGAGTGTGTGTACTGTCCAGCCTAGATGGAACCTGTTACGCTACACAAAACTGCGGAGGAATTTTAAACTCAAAAAATTGCTGGCATGTTCACCTTTCCGGCAAGAGGTATGAGCACTTTAAAATAAAACCTGATAAATTTTAAAGGGGTTATACTTAAAGTCATTCATATTAATCAGTACACGTTTTATACTAGGAGTAAGGGATATTTTTTGTAATTTTAATTCCGTTATTTCTCAGAGTTAGCAGCTGTCTAAACCGCACCCACCATGTTGGACGTCTGAAGAACAATCCCTGTCGGTGACTCAGTACCTGGTTTCAGAACCTGGTCTCAGTACCTGGTCTCAGTACCTGGTCTCAGAACCTAGTCTCAGAACCTGGTCTCAGAACCTGGTCTCAAAACCTAGTCTCAGTACCTGGTCTCAGAACCTGGTCTCAGAATCTGGTCGCAGAAGTCCTTGCAGATTCTTTAAGAGAAATGAATTGTAATGTGTACAGTCCCTCGCTCGAGTAGTTAAGCCTAGTTCAGTCTATGTGCCTTATGAACTCGCTGACAAACCTTCAAAATTTACCAGCTTTATTTTCCCTTTGTTTAAGAGGCTTAATCGGCACTGTAGATTTATTGCTTTATTGGCATCCGCTATATTGTTACTACTTGCCTGTTAAATAGCTACAGATCAGAGGAGATTTGAGGAATTGAGGGACAATAGTCTTTATACACAACAGCTTACACGAATATACGTGCTCAGTGCGTACTTCAGGTTCACACCAGCAAATGGGCAAACAATGATCTTACAAATTCCTGAAATACCAACAGTTTTAGTTGCTATAGAACAATGGACTTCATGAAGATCAATCTAATTCTTGGTAATGTTCTCGATGTTGTAACTTTCTCTAAAAGTCATATTACAATATTCCGTCAGTATTCACATCTGGTCGATGTCAGTGAATCCTACCTCTCTCCTAACAATCCTGGTGGTGATTGTGACCCTTTACAGTCCAGTCTCGACTGTCACAACTTGCACAAACTATGTTAACGGGGTAGAGGATACCAGGTGATAATTTCTCTTTCAGTTTTTGTTGTGACTTCAAATTTTAATATTCTTTAAATGATTGGCACCTGACCTTGACAGCTTAACTAATATAACATCCTTTTCCCACAGAGAGTGTACCTATTCCTGTTGTTTTAACGGTAGTAGCTTTTCTATAAATCTGAACGATGAGGAAGTTTGCTCTGATGAAAACCAGAAATGTTTCTATGATAAACCTACGATTCCCACCAGGTCAGTTTCAACCATTATCAGTGGAATAAACAAAGTCACTGATACTTTTTACGACAATGTTCTATTTTGAGCAAGATTTGTTTCCAAGACAATGACAAAGATTTCGTAGAAATAGGCATGATAATAACCAACTTAACTGATCAATTTCCATCAGCTGCCCTATAAAAATAAGCCAAGAGTTCGAAATGTATGGGTGTGGTGTTTTGGATACTTGCTGTTATCCACTGAACGAACCAGTACCAGAGTTTAAACACCGAATTCCTAGCAAGAATGCTGTTTGTAGCACTGACGGTTAGTTCGTTAAGTGGTACTGGTAGTTAATTAATTTTAGTACACCAAATCCAAGATTAAATTATGATGTTACAAAAGTTATGAAATTGGTAACGCTCGGTTCCAGGCAAGTGCATTGGGTACGGACCAGATGGTTTTGACATATGGGGTCTGAATGATCTAAAGGATCAAAAAGAATCTCTGACTCCGAAAGATGTGTACTGCTACGAAAACTGCATGTCCGTCATTGGCTCTAGTTTTGACGGCCTTGAAATCGAAGAGCTCTCCAGCCTCAATTGGCGTAAGTAATAATAAATGTTATAATTTTTGTTTGACAGCCTAGTTTAATTTTTTAATTGAATCAAATTAAACTCATAAACTTCTTCCTTTAAACATCAGCACCATCAATCAAATTCAAACCCGAATTTATAAAACATATTTCCAGCATCATGCTCAAAAGAAAACGTCCACTTATGCTCAGCAACTACTGAAGAAGTATGCCTCTTTCTCGACATAAGCTCCAAAGCAGACATGACTGTCCCAACATCAGAAGGACTCATCATTCAGCCGGGTGACATGGACATCAGAGCCTTTTACTGCGGCAAATTAGACGATGATATCAAACCAGAAAACAAGTGCAAAAGTGTCAAGGAACAGTTTACCAGTCTGTCTGATACACTCTACGCTGTTTCCACGATTGAGTTAAAAAATATCCAAACAGATTGTGGCAAGTTGGATATGTGTGTAGAGAATTGTGTGTATGAAGAACACAGACCGAAGAAAAAAGAACTGGCATGGTGGGGGATATTGTTGATAGTTATTCTGATAATTAGTTTTGTAGCAGTCATTAGTTTTCTGTTGTACTGCATATTTTTTAGAAAAAGTGCAGTTTATCCTAAAGACGAAGAAGCTGGAATTTTCTTCGAACACCTCACAGTTATACGACTTAGAGAGATTGAAAGATACCTTGATGACGCCATCGCCTCCAAAGATATGGCAGATCTAAAGTTGACAGTTGATATCGTCCAGCAGGAAGGTTTCCAAGATGATGTTAGACAAAAGTACGATACAGCTGTCAGGCTACTATGGGACTTGATGGCAAGGGATGCAGAAGTAAAACTGAAAGAGCTTGAAGAAGAAGAAAGACAGGCAGAAGAAACAAAGAAAGCTCTGCAGGAGGCAGAAAAGGATATTTTGATACGACTAAGGGCAAAAGAGGAGGTGGCTCTGAGAAGGGCTATTAAGACTCGAGACGAAACTAAAGATAAGTGGGCGAAGATGTGGCCCAAGTTAAAAGTACTAAGATCTATGAACGGGATAAATTCACAGTTGGTAGAAACAGTAATGGTAGAGGCTAGAACAGTAAAAGAGGAGAAAGAGAAGCAGAGCAGATTTGAGGAGGATCAGGCTAAAGAAGCAGCTTATTGTAAACAGCTTTTAAAAGAAAGTATAGCTTCTGATGACGACGGAAAGTTGGAAAGAGCAATGCAAACGACTGATTGGATAATATTTCAGAACCCAATTATGGATACTGACGAGGAGTTGAGAGATCTTCGCAAGAAAGCAAGAGACGAACTTGAAATGATTCGAAATGATACTATTCCTTTTATTATTCCTCTTCTTCGAAGAGAAAAGGAGACAGAAAAAAAACGAGGAGAGGAAGAGATAGCAGATGCAAATAAAAAAGAGGAGGTGGAATCAGCGGAGGCACAACGAAATGAAATAGATGGCCGAGAAAGTGAGGCAGAAGAAAAGATACAAGAGGAAGAAATGATAGCAGAGATGAATAAAAAAGAGGAGGAATTGAAAGAGTCACAACGATATGAGACAATCCAAAGAGAAGAGGAGGCAGAAGAAAAGAGACGAGAGGAAGAAATAATAGCAGAGGCAAACCGAAAAGAGAAGGAGGAATTGGCAGAGACACTACAACAAGAGACAATCCAAAGAGAAAGGGAGGCACAAGAAAAGAGAAAAGAGGAAGAGAAAATAGTAGAGGCAAACCGAAAAGAGAAAGAGGAATTGGCAGAGGCGCAACAGCATGAGGCAATCCAAAGAGAAAAGGAGGCAGAAGAAAATAGACAAGAGGAAGAAAGAATAGCAGAGGCAAACCGAAAAGAGAAGGAGGAATTGGCAGAGACACTACAACAAGAGACAATCCAAAGAGAAAGGGAGGCAGAAGAAAAGAGAAAAGAGGAAGAGAAAATAGCAGAGGCAAACCGAAAAGAGAAGGAGGAATTGGCAGAGGCGCAACAGCATGAGGCAATCCAAAGAGAAAAGGAGGCAGACGAAAATAGGCAAGCGGAAGAGAGAATAGCAGACGCAAAACGAAAAGAGGAGGAGGAATTGGCTGAGGCACAACGACTTGAGACAATCCAAAGAGAACGGGAGGCAGAAGAACAGAGACAAGAGGAAGAGAAAATAGCAGAGGCAAATAAAAAAGAAGAGGAGGAGAGAATAGCAGAGGAAAATAGAGAAGAGGGAGAAAGATTAGAAGAGGCACTACGACATGAGACTATCCAACGAGAAAAGGAGGCAGAAGAAAAGAAACAAGAGGAAGAGAGATTACCCGAGGCAAAACGTTCGGCTGGTCTAGCTAATCTTGTGTTCATCAATGCTGGCCTACAGACAGCGATAGCGGGAAGAAACATGGAGAAACTTAAAAAGGCAATCGCCGATGTTGAAGACAACAATGTTGTGGACGACTTGGCTGATCTTCACAAACAAGCCACCATCATGTTTAAACGACTCAAAAAAGAGAAAATCAAGAAAAACATCCAAGAACTAAAACGGCCTTTAATCGCAGAACTAAAAAGTATGTCCAGCCCTCCTGTCGACGTTCACCGATCTATGACAGCAGCATTCATACTGATGGGCGAGAATCTGAAAGACCTAAAAAAGTGGAGCAATATAGTGATTCTTCTTGGTAAGATGGGAAAAGAAGCCGTCAAACGAAAAGTTCTGGAGCTAAAAATTGAGGATGTAACAGAAAATATGGTGGCATCTGCAGAAAAACAAATTCAGGGTTTAACTTCGGATGAAGTGTATGTAGTTAACCAAGCAGCAAGCTATTTCTATGATTGGGCCGATATGATTTGCGTTGAGAGAAAGCAATTAGATTGATGGAGCTTAACGATAGAAGTCAAGAATATGACTCAAAGTTATAACTTGATATGACTCAAGTTTGGTACATAGCTATGACAAAAGATGGGAATCGAAAGATTTTTCGATTGAATTTGTAGATGCATTGTTGTTGCCTCATTGAAGATATTCTGGTCTTGTGTAAATGTAATTGTAATACATTGAAGTAAAATTTATTTGAATTTTGAAATAAAAAATCGTCAGACTGATTCAAACTTGATATTTGGCAACAATGGAAAGGTAATTAAATCGATAGCATTCCATTTAGCAGAACTTATAAAGTTATAAATATAAAACTAAAAGTTGATGAACATCTCTTATCTGAAATATCTCCCTACAGAAATTTCATTGTATATGGTTGCCACAGATGATACTCGTCTAAATTTCTTCGAGTGTGCTAATTCCTGACAGTTGAAACTAACCAGATTCGATGTATTTTCAATTTTAGGACGCTGATTCCGAATCACCCCATGACATAGGGTTAAAATGCTTAATGCTCCCCTGGCAAGATATTGGCGAAAAACTGTATCGATTACGTGATATGACCATATAAGGAAGTTGGTATAATTTCACACTAAGGTTAGGGTTGGGATCAGATTATAGAGCTATAGAGGGTTAGGGTTTCAAATTGTCATCCAGGGCCACATATGACATAGCGAACGGGTTAAAAAATTCACGTGACAGTCGAGTGTAGAGTGATTAGTGATTACTGATTAATCATCATCCAAATTTCTTCGAAGTACTACTACTACTACTAGTTGAGTAGTAGCTCGCGCGCCGCTTTCTTCTCGAAAAATTAGCTTGACTAGCCAGATATTATAACTACCTTTCGAATAACTTCTTCAATAAATGAAGATATCGTGAATCCAGCTTGCATCCAAGCTTTAAAGTATCAGACTCAGAGTGATCAGACGAGTATCTATTATAGTTTTATTTGAGCTTACTTACATTACCTATTCATTTTATAATATTTAAGTTTCTGTTGATATTTAATAGCCAAGATGATTATAAAATATTTTTAGTAAACATTGTTTGGTTGAACGTATCAATCAAATCAAAATATTTCCAGGAGATTTGAGGAATTGAGGGACAACAGTCTTACACAAGTATACATTGAGGGACAACAGTCTTACACAAGTATATATATGTTCAGCACGTACTTCAAATTCACACCAGCAAATGAACAAACAATGATCTTACAAATTCCTGAAATATCAATTACCAACAGTTTCTAACTGTAAGAACAATACAGTGTTCTTACAGTTAGAAACTTCAATCCGCTTTTTCAATTTTTTGATAATGTTCTCGATGTAACTTTGTCTAAAAGTAATTCTTTGTCCAAAAGTAATTCTACTAGATTCCGTCAGTATTCACAACTGGTCCATGTCAGCTAATCTTACCTCTTTACTACCAATCCTGGTGGTGATTGTGACCCTCTACAGTCCAGTCTCCAGTGTCATAACTTGCACAAACTATGTTAACGGGGTAGAGGATACCAGGTGATAACTCTTTTACAGTTTTTTGTGGTGACTATTCCAACTAAATGCAGAAACAATTTGTTCAAATAAACCGCTTTATAGCGAGGTCTGCGTTATAACGAGGTCCGCGTTTTAAAGAGGTCCGCGTAATTAATTATGCTCCTAGTCCTATCGTATCTTCAGATGACAAAACCGGATATAACAGCTCAACTATCCTGACATCCTTTTTTCCGCAGAGAGTGTGCATATGCTTGTTGTTTTAACGGTGGGAGCTTTTCTATAAAATTGAACGATGAGGAAGTTTGCTCTGATGAGATCCTGAAATGTTTTTATGATAAACCTACGATTCCGACCAGGTCAGTCACAATTATCGTCAGAAACAAGAAATTGCTTCGAAAAAGTTCTGTTTTGGACAAGATTTGTTCCCCAAACGAAAAATAATCAATAACGTTATCATTATCAATGACAAAGATTTCGTTAAAATATTTATGATAAATGACAATGACTTACTAAACTGATCAAATCCATTCGAGTAATCAATCCAGCAACCATTACAGCTGCCCGATAAAAATAAACAAAAAGATCGAAATATTTGGTTGTGGTGTTTTGGATGCTTGCTGTTATCCACTGAACGGACCAGTACCAGAGTTTAATCATCAAATTCCCAGCAAGAATGCTGTTTGTAGCACTGACGGTCAGTTTGTTAATTTGTAGGTAGTTAATTTCAATATCACCAAATCCATTTCTATTCCCTTTTTGTTGAGTTTAACAATCAAAATTAAATTTGTATGCTTTTGTTATTGTGACCTCAAACAAGCTATGAAGCTTTGTTAAAATACCATGCAACTTATTGAAATGGCTCATGTTTGGTAACGCTCAGTTCCAGACAAGTGTTTAAATTATGGACCAGATGGTTTTGACATCTGGGGTCTAAACGATCTAAAAAAGGATAGAAATTACTCTCTTACTCCGGGAGATGTGTACTGCTACGAGAACTGCATGTCTGTCATTGACTCTAGTTTTGAAATTGAAGAACTCTCCGGCCTCAAATGGCGTAAGTGTTCAAAACTTTAAATACAGGAATAAATGTTATAATTTAGTAATTTGGATCCAATGCTTTAATTTGAATCGAATCAAGTTCATATATTATGTCCTCCTTCATAAATGAGCACTCCATCATTCACTTTCCATTTTTGTAACTTTTGACGACTATGCTAAGCCCGAATTAAGAACAATCTTAAATACATTTTCAGCAACATGCTCAAAAGAAAACGTCCACTTATGCTCAGCAACTGCTGAAGAAGTATGCCTCTTTCTCGACGTAAGCTCCAAAGCAGACATGACCATCCCAACATCACAAGGATTTATCAGTCAGCCAGGTGACATGGACATCAGAGCCTCTTACTGTGGCACATTATACGATGATATCAAACCAGAAAACAAGTGCAATAGTGTCAAGGAAAAATTTGACAGCCTATCTGATACACTCTACGCTGTTTCCATGATTGGATTTGAAAATATCGAAATAGATTGTGGCATGTTGGATATCTGTGAAGAGAATTGTGTTTATGAAGAACACAGACCGAAGAAAAAAGGACTGGCATGGTGGGGGATATTGTTGATAGTTATTCTGATAATTAGTTTTGTAGCAGTCATTAGTTTTCTGTTGTATTGCATATTTTGTAGAAAATGTGCAGTCAATCCAAAAGACGATGAAGCTGGAATTTTTTATGAACAACCCACAGTTGTACGACTTACAGTGATTGAAAGATACCTCGACGACGCCATCGCCTCCAAACATATGGCAGATCTGAAGTTGACAATTGATATCATCGAGCAGGAAGGTTTCCAAGAGGAGCACAGACAAAAATACGATACAGCTGTCAGGTTATTAAAGGAATTGATGGCAAGAGATGCAGAAATAAAAAGGAAAGAGCTTGAAGAAGAAGAAAGAAAAGCGGATGAAACAAAGAAAGATCTAGAGGAGGCAGAAAATGATATTTTGAGACAACACAGGGCAAACAAGGAAGTGACTTTGAGAAGGGCTATTAAGGCTCGAGACGAAGCTAAAGTTAGGTGGGCAAGAATGTGGCCGAAATTAGAAGTACTTAGATCTCTGAACGGAATGAATGTGCAGTTGACAGAAAAAGCTATGGAAGAAGCTAGAAAAGCAAAAGAGGATGAAGAAAAGCAGAGAAAATTTGAGGAAGTTCAAGCTAAAGAAGGAGCTTATTGTAAACAGCTTTTAAAAGAAGGTATAGCAGCTGCTGACGAAGGAAAGTTGGAGGAAGCAATGAAAACGACTGATTGGACAGTATTTCAGACCACAATAATGGATACTGACGAGGAGTTGAGAGATCTTCACATTAAAGCGAGAAACGAACTTGAGAGGATTCGAAGTGATAGTGTTCCTCTTATCGTTCCTCTTCTTCAAAGAGAAAAGGAGGCAGAAGAAAAGCGAAGAGAGGAAGAGAAAATAGCTAAGACTAATAGAAAAGAGGAGGAAACATTGGAAGAGGTAAACAGACAAGAGGAAGAAAGAACGTCAGACACATATAATATAAAAGAGAAGAGAGATTGGCAAAGGCACAACGAGATAAAATGCTTCAAAGAGAAAAGGAGGCAGAATCAAGGAGAGAAGAGGGAGAGAGTATAGCAGAGACAAATAGAAACAAAGCAGAAGAGAGACTGATAGAGGCACATGAAGGATATGATTTAATCCAAAAAGAAAAGGAAGCGGATGAAAAGCCAAAAGAAGAAGAGAGAATATTTAAAAAGGCAAATGGAAAAGAAGAGGAGAGATTGCCAGATTTAAAACGAATTGAGGAAATCCAAAGGAAAAAGGAGGCAGAAGAAAAGAAAGAAGAAGAGAGAATAACAGAGGCAAAAAGAAAAGAGGAGGAGAGATTGGCAGAATCTCAACGACTCGAAGAAATCCAGAGGGAAAAGGAGGCAAAAGAAAAAAAGCAAGAAGCCGAGAGAATAGCAGAAGTAAAAAGAAAAGAGGAGGAGGAATTTGCAGAGGCACAACTTCTTGAGACAATCAAAAGAGAAAAGGAGGCAGAAGAAAAGAAACAAGATGATGAAAGAATAACAAAGTTGGAACGACTTGAGGAACTCCAAAGAGAAAAGGAGGCCGAAGAAAAAAGGCTAGACGACGAGAGAATAGCAGAGGAAAAAAGAAAAGAGGAGGAATTTGCAGAGGAAAAACGACTGGCTATCCAAAGAGAAAAGGAGGCAGAAGAAACGAGGCGAGAAGAAGAGAGGATTCTAGAGGCAAAAAGAAAAGAGGAAGAAAGAATAAAAGAATTGGAACGGCTTGAGGATCTCCAGAGAGAAAAGGAGGCAAAACAAAAAAGGCAAGAGGAAGAAAAAATAGCAGAGGTGGAACGATTTGAGGAACTCCAGAGAGAAAAGGAGGCAGAAGAAAAAAGAAAAGAGGAAAGAATAGCAGAGGTGGAACGACTTGAGGAGCTCCAGAGAGAAAAGGAGTAGAACAAAAAAGGCAAGAGGAAGAAAGACTAAAAGAGTTGGAACGATTTGAGGAACTCCGGAGAGAAAAGGAGGCTGAAGAAACAAGGCAAGAGAAAGAAAGAATAGCAGAGGTGGATCGATTTGAGGAACTACAGAGAGAAAAGGAGGCAGAAAAAAAAATGCACGAGGAAGAAAGAATAGCAGAAGTGGAACGACTTGAGGAACTCCAGAGAGAAAAGGAGGTAGGACAAAAAAGGCAAGAGGAAGAAAGACTAAAAGAGTTGAAACGATTTGAGGAACTCCGGAGAGAAAAGGAGGCTGAAGAAACAAGGCAAGAGGAAGAAAGAATAGCAGGAGTGGAACGACTTGAGGAACTCCAAAGAGAAAAGGAGGCCGAAGAGAAAAGGCAAAAGGAAAAACGAATAGCAGAAGTGGAACGACTTAAGGAACTCCAGAGAGAAAAGGAGGCTGAAGAAAAAAAACAAGAAGCCGAGAGAATAGCAGAAGTAAAAAGAAAAGAGGAGGAGGAATTTGCAGAGGCACAACTTCTTGAGACAATCAAAAAAGAAAAGGAGGCAGAAGAAAAGAAACAAGATTATGAAAGAATAACAAAGTTGGAACGACTTGAGGAACTCCAAAGAGAAAAGGAGGCCGAAGAAAAAAGGCTAGACGACGAGAGAATAGCAGAGGAAAAAAGAAAAGAGGAGGAATTTGCAGAGGAACAACGACTGGCTATCCAAAGAGAAAAGGAGGCAGGAGAAACGAGGCGAGAAGAAGAGAGGATTCTAGAGGCAAAAAGAAAAGAGGAAGAAAGAATAAAAGAATTGGAACGACTTGAGGATCTCCAGAGAGAAAAGGAGGCAGAACAAAAAAGGCAAGAGGAAGAAAGAATAGCAGAGGTGGAACGATTGGAGGAACTCCAGAGAGAAAAGGAGGCAGAAGAAAAAAGAAAAGAGGAAAGAATAGCAGAGGTGGAACGACTTGAGGAGCTCCAGAGAGAAAAGGAGGTAGAACAAAAAAGGCAAGAGGAAGAAAGACTAAAAGAGTTGGAACGATTTGAGGAACTCCGGAGAGAAAAGGAGGCTGAAGAAACAAGGCAAGAGAAAGAAAGAATAGCAGAGGTGGATCGATTTGAGGAACTACAGAGAGAAAAGGAGGCAGAAGAAAAAATGCACGAGGAAGAAAGAATGGCAGAAGTGGAACGACTTGTGGAACTCCAGAGAGAAAAGGAGGCAGAAGAAAAAAGAAAAGAGGAAGAAAGAATAACAAAAGTGGAACGACTTGAGGAACTCCAGAGAGAAAAGGAGGTAGAACAAAAAAGGCAAGAGGAAGAAAGACTAAAAGAGTTGGAACGATTTGAGGAACTCCGGAGAGAAAAGGAGGCTGAAGAAACAAGGCAAGAGGAAGAAAGAATAGCAGGAGAGGAACGACTTGACGAACTCCAAAGAGAAAAGGAGGCCGAAGAAAAAAGGCTAGACGACGGGAGAATAGCAGAGGAAAAAAGAAAAGAGGAGGAATTTGCAGAGGAACAACGACTTGAGGCTATCCAAAGAGAAAAGGAGGCAGAAGAAACGAGGCGAGAAGAAGAGAGGATTCTAGAGGCAACAAGAAAAGAGGAAGAAAGAATAAAAGAATTGGAACGACTTGAGGAACTCCAGAGAGAAAAGGAGGCAGAAGAAAAAAGAAAAGAGGAAGAAAGAATAGCAGAGGTGGAACGATTTGAGGAACTCCAGAGAGAAAAGGAGGCAGAAGATAAAAGGCAAGAGGAAAAAAGAATAGCAGAAGTGGAACGACTTGAGGAACTCCAGAGAGAAAAGGAGGCTGAAGAAAAAAAACAAGAGGACGAGAGAAAAGCTGAGGCAAAAAGAAAAGAGGAAGAAAGAATAGCAGAGGTAGAACGACTTGAAGAACTCCAGAGAGAAAAAGAGGCAGAAAAAAAGAAACAAGAGGAAGAAAGAATAGCAGAGTTGGAACGACTTGAAACAATCCAGAGGGAAAAGGAGGCAGAACAAAAAAGACAAGAAGACGAGAGAATAGCAGATGCAAAAAGAAAAGAGGAAGAAAAAATAGTTGAGGTGGAACGACTTGAAACTATCCAGAGGGAAAAGGAGGCAAAAGAAAAGAGGCAAGAGGACGAAAGAATAGCAGAGGCAAAAAGAAAAGAGGAAGAAAGAATAGCAGACGTAGAACGGATTGAGGCTATCCAAAGAGAAAAAGAGGCAGAAGAAAAGAGGCGAGAGGAAGAAAGATTAGAAGAGGCAAATCAAATAAACGAGGAGAAATTAGCTGAGACGCAACGACTTGCGACAATTCAAAGGGAAAAGGAGGCAGATGAAAAGAAACAGGAGGGATATAGAATATCAGAGGCAAAAATAAAAGAGGATGAGGAATTGGCAGAGGCACAACGACTTGAAACAGTCCTAAGTGAAAAGGAGGCAGAAGTAAAGAGAGAAGAGGAAGAGAAAATAGGAGAGTCAAAAAGAAAAGAGAAGGAGGAATTTGCCACGGCACAACGACTTGAAACAATACAACGGGATAAGGATGCAAATGAAAAGAAACAATGTAAAAGACAGCGGAAGAAAAGAAATAAGAGAGAAAGAATAGCAGAGGCAAAACGACAAGAGGAGGAGAAATTTGCAGAGGCACAACGACTTGAAACAATCCAGAGGGCAAAGGAAGCAGAAGAAAAGAAAAAAGAAGATGAAAAGTTTACAGAGGCACTATTACATCAAAGTATCCAAAAGGAGGCAGAAGAAAGGAAACAAAAGGACAAAGGATTGGTTGAAGCAATATTACTTGAAACAATCGAAAAGAATGCAGAGGAAAAGCAATTAGAGGACGAAGAATTGGTTGAAGTATTAAAACTTGAGACAATCCAAGAGGAAGCTGAAGATAATAAAAAAGAAGAGGAGACGTTGGCAGAAGAACCACCAGTTGAGACAAATCAAAAGGAGGCAGAAGAAAAGAAACAAAAAGATGAAGACTTGGTTGAAGCAATATTACTTGATACAGTCGAAAAAGAGGCAGAAGAAAATCAAAACGAGGAGGAGAGATTGGTAAAGACACTACTACTTGAGACAATCCAAAAGGAGGTTGAAGAAAAGCAAAAAGAGGAGGAGATATTGGCAGAGGCACTACTACTTGAGACAATCCAAAAGGAGGCAGAAGAAAAGCAAAATGAGAAGGAAGATTTGACTGAAGCATTACTACATGAAACAATCGAAAGGGAAGTAGAAGAAAGGCAAAAAGATGAGGAAGATTTGGTTGAGGCATTACTACTTGACATAATCCAAAAGGAGGCAGAAGAAAAGCAAAACGAAGAGGAGAGATTGGTAGAGGCACTACTACTTGAGACAATCCAAAAAGAGGCAGCAGAAAAGCAAAATGAGAAGGAAGATTTGACTGAAGCATTACTACATGAGACAATCCAAAGGGAGGTAGAAGAAAAGCAAAAAGATGAGGAAGATTTGGTTGAGGCTTTACTACTTGAGATAATCCGAAAGGAGGCAGAAGAAAAGCAAAACGAGTGGGAGAGATTGGTAGAGGCACTACTACTTGAGACAATCCAAAAAGAGGCAGAAGAAAAGCAAAAAGAGGAAGAGAGATTGGCAGAGGCATTACTACTTAAAACAATCCAAAAGGAGGCAGAAGAAAAGCAAAAAGATGAGGAGGATTTGGTTGAGGCACTACTACTTGAGACAATCCAAAAGGAGGCAGAAGAGAAGCAAAACGAGGAGGAGAGATTGGCAGAGGCGCTACTAATTGAGATAATCCAAAAGGAGGCAGAAGAGAGGCAAAACGAGGAGGAGAGATTGGCAGAGGCACTGCTACTTAAAACAATCCAAAAGGAGGCAGAAGAAAAGGAAAAAGATGAGGAGGGATTGGTAAAGGCACTACTACTTGACACAATCCAAAAGGAGGCAAAAGAAAAGCAAAAAGAGGAAGAGAGATTGGCAGAGGCACTACTACTTAAAACAATCCAAAAGGAGGCAGAAGAAAAGCAAAAAGATGAGGAAGATTTGGTTGAGGCACTACTACTTGAGACAATCCAAAAGGAGGCAGAAGAAAAGCAAAACGAGGAAGAGATATTGGCGGAGGCACTGCTACTTGAGACAATCCAAAAGGAGGCAGAAGAAAAGCAAAACGAGGAGGAGAGATTAGCGGAGGTATCACTACTTGAGACAATCCAAAAGGAGGCAGAGACGAAAAGGGTGAAGGAAACAGGAGAAAAGGAGGCAGAAGAAAAAAGGCAAGAGGAAAAAAGTATAGCAGAGGCGAAACTAAAAGAGGAGAAGGAAACGAAAAAAGAGGACGAAGAAAAAAGGCAAAAGGAAGAAAGAATAGCAAAGGCACAAATAAAAGAGGAGGAGGAATTAGCAAAGACATTACTACTTGAGACAATCCAAAGGGAAAAAGAAGCAAAAGAAAACAAACAAGAGAAAGAGAGAATAGCAGAGGCAAAACGAAAAGAGGAGGAGGAAAAAGAGGCAGAAGAAAAAAGACAAGAGAAAAAGAAAATAGCAGAGGCCAAAAAAAAAGAGGATGAGGAATTGGCAAAGGCACTTCTACTTGAGGCAATCCAAAGGGAAATGGAGGCAGAAAAAAAGAAAAAAGAGGAAGAAAGAACGGCAGAAGCAAAAAGAAAAGAGGAAAAAGTATTGGAAGAGGCTAAACGACTTGACGCAGTTCAAAGGGAAAAGGATGCAAAAGAAAAAAGGAAAGAGAACGAGATAATAGCAGAGGCAAAAAGAAAAGAGGAGGAAGAAAAAGAGGAGGAGGAAAAAGAGGCAGTAGAAAAATGGGAAGAGGAAGAAAGAATAGCAGATGCAATTAGAAAAGAGGAGGAGGAAAAAGAGGCAAAAGAAAAGAGACGAGAGAAAGAGAGAATAGCAAATGCAAAAAGAAAAGAGGAGGAGGAATTAGCAAAGACATTACTACTTGAGGCAATCCAAAGGGAACAAGATGCAGAAGAAAAGAAACAAGAGCTAGAAAAAATAGCAGAGTTGGAACGACTTGAAACAGTCCAGAGGGAAAAGGAGGCAGAAGAAAAAAGGGAAGAGGACGAGAGAATAGCAAAGGCAAAAAGAAAAGAGGAGGAGAGATTGGTTGGTTTAGCTAAACTTGCAGACATCAAGGCTTCCATACAGACAGCAATAGCGGAAAAGGGCATCGAGAAATTGAAAAAGTCAATCGCCGATGTCGAGGATAACAATGTATTGGACGACTTGACTGATTTTTACAAAGAAGCCACCACCTTGCTTAAACGGCTTCAAAAAGAGGAAATCAAGAAAAACATCCAAGAACTTAATCGACCCTTAATCGCGGAACTAAAAAGTATGTCCAGCCCTCCCCCCGATGTTCATAGATCTATGACAGCAGCATTCCTGCTGATGGGTGAGAATCTGAAAGACCTCAAGACGTGGAACAACATAGTGCTCCTCCTTAGTAAGATGGGAAGAGAATCCGTCAAAAGAAGAGTTATGGAGCTAAAAATTCAGGATGTAACAGAGAATATGATGGCATCTGCAGAAAAAGAAATTCTAGGTTTAACTTCGGATGAAGTGTATGTAGTGAACCAAGCAGCAAGCTATTTCTATGATTGGGCCGAAATGATTTGTATCGAGAAAAAGCAATCAGACTGATGGGGTTCAAAAATATAGGAGTCAGAAATATGGCTCAAATTTATGACTTGAAGATGAGAGTCAAAGATAGGACTCAAATGTGATATTGAAAACTTTGATTCAGAGGTTGAAATCGAAGGGTTTTCTGATTTAATTTTTAGATGCAACATATTTTTAAAGTTTTATCCTCAGATTGATTCAGATTTTTATTTTTAGCAAGACTGGAAAATAAATACTGAGATAATAAAGTAAATGGATTTTAAATGAAAAGCTAAAACTAAATTATTAATAAATTAATGATCTACTTCTCAAAATTAAAAGGAAATTAATTTAAATCGATAGTGTTAAAATTCGTTATTTTATGGTCATGAAATTAAAAGTGGATGAAAAAATAAAAAAGGGACGATATATCGCCCTACGGCAATTTTGGTCTTTAAAATGTTGTTCTTTTTAAAAGTGAAGGAGTTAATGGAAATTTCTCCTTCAGACTTTGAACTTGAAGTATCTTCAGTGTACTAGAAATATCAAAACCGGTGTCCTTATGACGTGGTTATCTGTTTATTTTAAAGATCGAAGTGTCATTTTTAGAAAAACTAAAACGTAAAATAAAACGCGCGCCTTTTCCACGACTATATATATTTGTAAATGGATACTGAACTTTAAAATGGTAGAAAGTAAAATGTCCGTGCCAGATATAAAAGTGTCGTATTTGCTTATTATAACTCACATGTCCAACCACTTTCCAACAGTGCAACAAGCACACTATTGAGAGCGGAACGAGTTGCAACAAGCATAAAACTAGCCGTTCAGCTGTGTTTGTTAGGCCACGAGTGACGAGGCGGAGTCACAATACAACTTTTATAATTTGTAATCTATTGAACTGTTTGAATCGAGCTGTTATTTGCAAATAAATTCATTTTACTTGTTTTGAGAGACGTCCTTAAAAAGTATATCAGATTCCGTCAGTATTCACATTTGGTCCATGTCAGTGAATCCTACCTCTCTCCTAACAATCCTAGTGGTGATTGTGACCCTTTACAGTCCAGTCTCCAGTGTCATAACTTGCACAAACTATGTTAACGGGGTAGAGGATACCAGGTGATAATCTCTTTTTGAGTTTTTTGTGGTGACTTCAAATTTTATTATTTTGAAATGATTGGCGACTGTCGAAAAATCTTGGACGTAATTGGTTCAAACATTATTATTGTTCATGTTTGAATTTAGGATTTTATGCCATATTCGTTTACAAATACCATCAAATCTTTTTCAGTTTTTATATTTTAAAGAAAAGATAACGAAGCCAAAATTATAGTTATAATTAGATATGCTCCAATCTTTAGTCTTAGAAAACTAACAGTAATGACTGCACTAAATATTAAGCTACCTACTCCGCCGATATTACACCTTTTTTCCACAGAGAGTGTGCATATGCTTGTTGTTTGAGCGGTGGTAGCTACGCTATAACCCTAACTGAAACAGAGGTCTGCTCCGACGAAAACCAGAAATGTTACAATGATAAACTTACGATTCCAACCAGGCGAGTTTCAATCAATTTATGTTGTCTCGCTTTATATAAACTAAGATAATGCCTAAATTAACTGATTAAATTCAACCCAAGTAATTAAATAAACAACCACAACAGCTGTCCAATAAAGGTACACGAAGAGTTCGAAATGTACGGGTGTGGTGTTTTGGAAAGTTGCTGCTATCCACTGAACGAAACGGTACCTGAGTTTGAACACCAAGTTCCGAGAAAGAATGCTGTGTGTACTTCTGATGGTTAGTTCGTTTATAACTTTTAGGTAATTAACTTTAGTATCACTAACTCCATAATTGTTTCTTTTCTGTTTTGTGATTCCAATTATGAGGTATTCTGTCACAGTTAGATATTTTAAGGGTTTGAACGGTCAAGATTAAATTATAATGTGACACAAATTTTGAAGTATTGTTAAACTTCAAATACCGATTGAAATGGCTCATGTTTGGTAACACCCAGTTCCAGGCAACTGCATAAAGTATAACGGACAAGATGGTTTTGACATATGGGGTCTTGAAGATCTAAAAAATTATCAAGACGACTCTAGTTTAACTTCGAGAAATGTGTACTGCTACGAGAACTGCATGTCAGTCACTAGCTCTAGTGTTGTCGGCCTTGAAATTGAAGACCTCGCCGACCTCAATTGGCGTAAGTCTTCAAAACTTTAATTACAGGATTTAATTATGATAATTAAAATTTATGTTTCACTAGTGACTACTATACTTAGTTTAATTGAATCAAAGTAAATTCATATATGTTTTCCTTTGCACATTATAACCATCAATCACTATCCAATTTTATAACTTTTTACGACTACTATAATTCTGAATGTAGAATAATATATTTTCAGCATCTTGCTCAAAAGAAACCGTCAGCTCATGCTCAGCAACTACTGGAGACGTATGCCTCTTTCTCGGCGTAAGCTCCAAAGCAGACATCACCGTCCCAACACAAGACGGGTTCATTACAACGCCAGGTGACATGGACATCAGAGTCCATTACTGCGGCAAATTAGACGATGATATCAAACCGGAAAACAAGTGCAATATTGTCAAGGAACAGTTAAACGGCTTGGCTAATGCACTTGCTGTTTCCAAGATTGGTTTTGAAAATATCCAAACAGATTGTGGTAAGTTGGGTATGTGTGACGATGATTGTGTATATGAGGAGCACAAACCGAAGAAGAAAGGAGGAGTAGCATGGTGGGCAATATTGTTGATAATTATTCTGATAGTCATTATTGTAGCAGTCATTATTCTTCTGTATTGCATGTTTTGTAAAAAGGATTCGGTTCATCCTAAAGACGACGAACCTGAAATGTACTTGGAAGATGTCGAAAACCCAACAATTGTACGACTTAGAGAGATTGAAAGATACCTCGACGACGCCATTGCGTCAAAAGATATGGCAGATCTGAAGTTGACAATTGATATCGTCGAGCAGGAAGGTTTCCAAGAGGAGCTCAGACAAAAGTACGATACAGCTGTCAGGTTACTAGAGGAATTGATGGCAAGGGATGCAGAAATAAAAAGGAAAGAGCTTGAAGAAGAAGAAAGAAAGGCGGATGAAGCAAAAAAAGCTCTAGAGGAGGCAGAAAAAGAGGTTTTGAGACGACAAAAGGCAGAAGAGGAGGCGGCTCTGAAAAGGGCTATTGAGGCTCGAGATGTTGCTAAGGTTAGGTGGGCGAGAATATGGCCCCGGTTGCAAATACTTAGAGCTCTAAACGGGATAAATGCGGAGTTGGTAGCAAAAGCAATGGAAGAAGCTAGAAAAGCAAGAGAAGAGGAAGAGAGGGCGAGAAGATTTGAAGAGGATCAAGCTAAAAAAGCAGCTTATTGTAAACAGCTTTTAAAAGACGGTTTAGCAGCTGCTGACGAAGGAAAGTTGGAGAGAGCAATTAAAACGACTGATTTGACCGTATTTCAGACCACAATAATGGATACTGATGAAGAATTAAGAGATCTTCACAAAAAAGCGAGTAACGAACTTGCTAGGCTGCGAAATGAGAGAATTCGAAAAGAAAAGGAGGCAGAAGAAAAAAAACGAGAGGAAGAGAGAATAGCAGAGGCACAAAGAAAAGAAGACGAAAGATTGGCAGAGGCACAACGACAAGTAGAATTAAGATTAAGAGAAGAAAAAAGATTGGCTGGTTTAGCTAAACTTTCGGAGATCAAGGCTGCCCTAGAGACAGCCATATCGGAAAAAGACATCGAGAAATTGAAAAAGTCAATCGCCGATGTCGAGGACAACAATCTTGAGGACGACTTAGCCGATCTTCACAAACAAGCCACCGCCATGCTTGAACGGCTCCAAAAGATTGAGAAAATCAAAAAAAACATCCAAGAACTAAAACGGCCTTTAATCGCGGAACTAAAAAGTATGTCCAGCCCTCCTGTCGACGTTCACCGATCTATGACCGCAGCATTCATACTGATGGGCGAGAATCGGGAGGACCTTAGAGATTGGAACAACATAGTGATTCTCCTTGGTAAAACGGGACGAGAATCTGTCAAAAGAAAAGTCCAGGGGTTAAAAGTCGAGGATGTAACAGAGGAAATGGCGGCTAAGGCAGAAAAACAAATTCTAGGTTTAACTTCGGATGAGGTGTATGAAGCGAACCAAGCTGCAAGCTTGTTCTACGATTGGGCTGATATGATTTGTTTTGACAGAAAGCAAGAAAGCAAGTAGATTGATGGAACTCAAAGATAGGACTCGAAATTGAATGTGGGAATCAAACCTGTTTTTTATTAAATTTTTACACGCAACATTTTGTATCATCAGACTGATTCATATTCTGATTTTTAGCAACAATTAAAATGGAATACTGTGATAATAAACAATCAATAAAAGATATCAATAAAATAATAATTTAATTCTCTAAACTGAAAGGAAAAAAATCGATATTGTTTAAATTTGTAATAAATATAAAATTGATAAAAAAATTGAAAAAGGCTGATTAGATACATTTTTGTTATCCTTTCTGACACGAACGAGTTTTCTCGTTCAAAATCGTGATTCTTCCTGGGTTCGATGGTTCCTATAAGTTCGTTTTTAGAGTTTAGTTCTTCCAAGCTCCGTACATCACATTACCAGTTCTACTTCTCGCAATCTGTATCCATCATGTCCCTGATACATTTGTATAGTCGCTCTATTATCGTCTGAAAAGGATGTTCCTGTCACTGGATTTAGTTGTGTTATATTGTCACCTTCTTTGTATAGTAGGTTTTATAGGTTAAACTAAAACACCGTACCACAGCTATTAGTTGGTTTATTTAAATCGATAGTGTTCAAATTCGCTATCTTATGAACATGAAACGTAAAATAAAACGCGCGCCTTTTCACGACTCTGTTTCTAATTTAAAAGAATGGATATTTAACTTTAAAATGTAAAATATCCGTGCCAGATATAAAGGTGTCGCATTTGCTTATTATAACTCACATGTCCCACCACTTTCCAACAGTGCAACAAGGACACTATTGAGAGCCAAACGAGTTGCAACAAGCATAAAACTAACTGCCATTCCGTTCAACTGCCATATGTTTTGTGTCCGTTTTTTCCCATTCAGTACCCTATATTTTCAAAACGGACAAAAAGTAGGGCGGACCAAAAACGGACAAAAAATGTTATTGAAATAACACATAAAGATCCTTCCTCCTCCTCCTCCTCCTCCTCCTCCTCCTCCTCCTCCTCCTCCTCCTCCTCCTCCTCCTCCTCCTCCTCCTCCTCCTCCTCCTCCTCCTCCTCCTCCTTCTCCTCCTCCTCCTCCTCCTCCTCGTATATACAATACATACTCAGGGTGATGATTAATCACTCTACACTCGACTGTCACGTGACTTTTTCAACCCGTCCTGAACTTAACGACTATTCGAAACCCTAACCCTCTAATCTGATCCCAACCCTAACCCTAACCCGATCTTTAACAAAAGCATATGCTGAAATCCTAACCCTAACAAGAAATTAGACTAACTTCCTTATACGGTCATATCACGTGATCGAGACAGTTTTTCGCCAATATCTCGTCAGGAGAGCATTTTAACCATATGTCATGGGGGGGTGATTCGGATTCAGCGTCCGAAAATACATCGATTGAAGTAGGTTTCAACTGTCGGGGGCCCTTTTAGAACAATTTCGAAGATCGACTGTGGAGTGATTTAGCACGCTAGCCTTCTCAGTTCTCGTATTACATCTAAATTTGTTTGACATCGTAAACATTTAAAAGACTCTTTAAAAGGTCCTATAGTGCAGTAATTTGAAGACATTACTGGGTTACTATGCGATTTTGACTTTTGATTCAAATTTAATTTCCATATCTACCACATACTATCATAATATATAGCACATATAGCAGATGCCCACTAGCTTTTCGTCTGAGTATCGAGTTTTTGCCTAGCCTATAGTAATCAAGCGAATATTGATCTACCGAATGATATTTTTCATAAATAAAGTGATAAAGTTGTATCCCTTTTTATGTTATTAAAAAATGTGTAGACTATTCTTTGTACCTAACTGAGGATTGAAAGTTTGAGAAAGGACCATTGTCATTAACCGTGCTACCCATTTCTGCAAATAGCCTGTCACAAATTGTGGAGACAATTTAAATCAAAAGTTACAATTTTTGTCCGTTTTTGTCCGTTTTTGTCCGTTTTTGTCCGTTTTTGTCCGTTTTTGTCCGTTTTTGTCCGTTTTTGTCCGTGCGGTACTTTATTTTCTGATAACGGACAAAATCCCACGGAGAAAAACGGGGAAAAACGGACCAAAAAAACATGAGCCCACCCCCAAAGTTTTATAATTTGTAATCTATTGAACTGTTTGAATTGAGCTGTTATTTACAAATGAATTGATGTTTCTTGTTTTGAGAGACGTCCTTAAAAAAGTATACCCGATTCCGTCAGTATTCACAACTGGTCCATGTCAGCTAATCTTACCTCTCTTCTACCAATCCTGGTGGTGATTGTGACCCTTTACAGTCCAGTCTCCAGTGTCACAACTTGCACAAACTATGTTAACGGGGTAGAGGATACCAGGTGATAATAAGCAGTTACATCACTGCATTCGCTAGCATCATTTCGTTGATCATCAGAGAATGCATTTACATCACTCCTTATAGTTATAATATGATAACATGAGTTACACACCTCGTCAAACTCGGTATGTATCTCGTTTTATCCAACTCGTCAAACTCGTTGGATAAAACAATTTTCACAACTCAAAGTTGTGAAAATAATGATGCTAGCGAACAATAAATATTGCCCTCCCAGTTATTGCAACCCTATTTAATGCATTATATTATCGTAAACAAGAGTGAGATAACAACTTTTGCATTATGGACAATTACACACTGATCATGAGAGATTCTCTCTTTCAGTTTTTATGGTGACTTTATTATTTTTTAAATGATTGTCATGGGCAACTGTCGAAAATATTTGGGGTTAATTCGTTCAATCATTATTATTATTTGGATTTAAGATTTTATGCCATATTTGTTTACAAATATCATCAAATCTTTTTAATTTTTTTAAATTTTGAAGAATAGAGAACGGAGCCAAAATTATAGTTATAATTAGATCTGATCCTATCTTTAGAAAACTTACAGTAATGACTGCACTAAATATTAAGCTACTTCGCCGATATTACACCTTTTTTCCACAGAGAGTGTGCATATGCTTGTTGTTTGAGCGGTGGCAGCTACGCTATAAACCTAAACGAAACAGAAGTCTGCGCCGATGAAAACCAGAAATGTTACAATGATAAACTTACGATTCCAACCAGGCGAGTTTCAATCAATTCATAATGTCTCGCTTTATATGAAAGTATAAACTAAGATAATGACTAAATTAACTGATTATATTCAACCCAAGTTATTAAATAAACAACCACAACAGCTGTCCAATAAAGGTACACGAAGAGTTCGAAATGTACGAGTGTGGTGTGTCGGAAACTTGCTGCTATCCACTGAACGAACCGGTACCTGAGTTTGAACACCAAGTTCCGAGAAAGAATGCTGTGTGTACTTCTGATGGTTAGTTCGTTAAGTTTTAGGTAATTAACTTTAGTATCAATAACTCCATGATTGTTTTTTTCTGTTTTGTGATTCCAATTATGAGGTATTCTGTCACAGTGAGATATTTTAAGGGTTTTAACAGTCAAGATTAAATTATGATTTGACATAAATTATGAAGTATTGTTAAACATGAAATACCGATTGAAATGGCTGATCATGTTTGGTAACACCCAGTTCCAGGCAACTGCATAAAGTATAACGGACAAGATGGTTTTGACATATGGGGTCAGGAAGATCTAAAAAATTATCAAGACGACTCTAGTTTAACTTCGAGAAATGTGTACTGCTACGAGAACTGCATGTCAGTCATTAGCTCTAGTGTTTTCGGCCTTGAAATTGAACTTGAAGACCTCGCCGACCTCAATTGGCGTAAGTCTTCAAAACTTTAATTACAGAATTTAATTACAATTACAATTTACGTTTGACTATTGACTACTTTACCTTGTTTAATTAAATCAAAGTAAGCTTATAAATGTCCTTCGTAGTTCGTACATTATCACCATCAATCACTATCCAATTTTATAGCTTTTTACGACTACGCTAAGCCTGAATGTAGAATAATATATTTTCAGCATCGTGCTCAAAAGAAAACGTCAGCTCATGCTCAGCAACTACCGAAGAAGTATGCCTTTTTCTCGACGTAAGCTTCAAAGCAGACATCACCGTCCCAACACCACAAGGGTTCATCACTACGCCAGGTGACATGGACATCAGAGCCTTTTACTGCGGCAAATTAGACGATGATATCAAACCAGAAATCAAGTGCAATATTGTCAAGGAACAGTTTACCAGTCTGTCTGATACACTCTACGCTGTTTCCACGATTGAGTTATCAAGTATCCAAATAGATTGTGGCAAGTTGGATATGTGTGTAGAGAATTGTGTGTATGAAGAACACAGACCGAAGAAAAAAAAGGACTGTTATGGTGGGGGATATTGTTGATAGTTATTCTGATACTCATTATTGTAGTAGACATTTTTGCTCTGTATTGGATGTTTTGCAAAAAAGATTCGGTTCATCCTAAAGACGACGAAGCTGAAATATACTTGGAAGATGTCGGAAACCCAACAATTGCACGACTTAGAGAGATTGAAAGATACCTTGATTTGAATTTGACAATTGATATCATCGAGCAGGAAGGTTTTGAAGAGGAGCTCAGACAAAAGTACGATACAGCTGTCAGGCTACTAAAGGACGTGATGGCAAGGGATGCAGAAATAAAAAGGAAAGAGCTTGAAGAAGAAGAAAGAAAGGCGGATGAAGCAAAGAAAGCTCTAGAGGAGGCAGAAAAGGAGGTTTTGAAAAGACAAAAGGCAGACGAGGAGGCGGCTTTGAGAAGGGCTATTGAGGCTCGAGATGTTGCTAAGGTTAGGTGGGCGAGAATATGGCCCCGGTTGCAAATACTTAGAGCTCTAAACGGAATAAATGGGGAGTTGGTAGCAAAAGCAACGGAAGAAGCTAGAAAAGCAAGAGAAGAGGAAGAGAGGGCGAAAAGATTTGAAGAGGATCAAGCTAAAAAAGCAGCTTATTGTAAACAGCTTTTAAAAGACGGTTTAGCAGCAGCTGCTGACGAAGGAAATTTGGAGAGAGCAATTAAAACGACTGATTTGACCGTAGTTCAGACCACAATAATGGATAATGATGAAGAGTTGCGAGATCTTCACATTAAAGCGAGAAACGAACTTGAGACAATCCAAAAGGAGGCAGAGTCGAAAAGGGCGAAGGAAACAGGAGAAAAAGAGGCAGAAGAAAAAAGGCAAGAGGAAAAAAGAATAGCAAAGGCACAAATAAAAGATGAGAAAGAATTAGCAGATGCACAACGACTTGAGGCAATCCAAAGGGAAAAGGAGTCAGAAGAAAAGAAACAAGAGGAAGAGAGAATAGCAGAGGCAAAACGAAAAGAGGAGGAGGAAAAAGAGGCAGAAGAAAATAGACAAGAGAAAAAGAAAATAGCAGAGGCCAAAAAAATAGAGGATGAGGAATTGGCAGAGGCACTTCTACTTGAGGCAATCCAAAGGGAAAAGGAGGCAGAAGAAAAGAAACAAGATGAAGAAAGAACAGCAGAAGCAAAAATAAAAGAGGAAGAAGCATTGGCAGAGGCTAAACGACTTGAGGCGATTCAAAGGGAAAAGGAGGCAGAAGAAAAAAGGGAAGAGGACGAGAGAATAGCAGAGGCAAAAATAAAAGAGGACGAGAGATTGGCTGGTTTAGCTAAACTTGCAAACATCAAGGCTTCCATACAGACAGCCATATCGGAAAAAGACATCGAGAAATTGAAAAAGTCAATCGCCGAAGTCAAGGACAACAATCTTGAGGACGACTTTGCCGATTTTCACAAGCAAGCCACCGCCATGCTTGAACGGCTCCAAAAGATTGAGAAAATCAAGAAAAACATCCAAGAACTAAAACGGCCTTTAATCGCAGAACTAAAAAGTATGTCCAGCCCTCCTGTCGACGTTCACCGATCTATGACAGCAGCATTCATACTGATGGGCGAGAATCGGGAGGACCTTAGAGATTGGAACAACATAGCGATCCTTCTTGGTAAAACTGGACAAGAATCTGTCAAAAGAAAAGTCCAGGGGTTAAAAGTCGAGGATGTAACAGAGGAAATGGCGGCAAAGGCAGAAAAACAAATTCTGGGTTTAACTTCGGATGAGGTGTATGAAGCGAACCAAGCTGCAAGCTTGTTCTACGATTGGGCTGATATGATTTGCTTTGACAAAAAGCAAGTAGATTGATGGAACCCAAAGATAGGACTCGAACTCGAAGGGGCGAATCAAACCCAATTTTTTAAACGCAACATTTTGTATCATCAGACTGATTCATATTTTGATTTTTAGCATTTGAAATAGAATACTGTGATAATAAAATGGAGTAATTAATGATAAAGTTAAAATATCAATAAGTTAATAATTTACTTCTCCAAACTGAAAGGAAAAGAAATCAATATTGTTCAAATTTGTAATAAATATAAAATTGATAAAAAAATTAAAAAATTAAAAAAGATTAGATATATCTCTGTTATCCCTTCTGACACAAACGAGTCTTCTCGTTCAAAATCGCTTCCTCGGTTCGATAGTTCGTTTTTAGAGTCCAGTACTTCTAAGCTCCGTACATCACATTACCAGTTCTATTTCTTGTAACGCTCAGCTGTTCACTTTTCTCAGCAGCACTTTGATCGCTAATAGCATGCCATTTCCGGATCAGGTGAATAGCAACATGTGTTACCTAGCAACATCACGTGTTACCTAGCAACATCACGTGTTATGTAGCAACATCACGTGTTACCTAGCAACATCACTTGTTACCTAGCAACATCACGTGTTACTTAGCAACATCACGTGTAACCTAGCAACATCACGTGTTATGTAGCAACATCACGTATTATCTAGCAACATCACGTGTTACCTAGCAACATTACGTGTTACCTAGCAACATCAAGTGTTACTTAGCAACATCACGTGTTACCTAGCAACATCACGTGTTATCTAGCAACATCACGTGAGACCTAGTAACTTCACGTATCAAAGAGTTGTGTTGGTGTTTGTCTGGTGATCCCGAATATTCGGTTAAAGGCACAGTGTGCGGATATCCTACTCTCACAATCTGTGTCCATCATGTCGCTGATACATTCGTCTAGTCGCTCTATTATCGTCTGAAAAGGAGGTTTATATCACTGGATTTTTTTACTGTCACCTTTTCTGTATAGTAGGTTTTACAAGTTGAACTAAAACACCATAGCTATTGGTCGGTTAAATCATTTTTCAGTTTTGACGAAACCCAAAAGTGTTAAACCTATAATCTGAGCAAGATAAATTTACTATACATGAAACACTCCCAACTAACCTGATCCTCGCTCTCAACAGTGTCGAGCTCTAGTTTCTTGAGATCAGGTCGGAACTGGTCTATAACCACAAGGTTCACAATGTTAGTGTACGTGTACATGGCTGGGAGCTGTGGTTGGTACACGTGGACGTAGCCTGCCGCTGGTGCTCCAACTAAAGGGGATATAAGATATTTCCTTGTGTTTCACGAAGTGGAGAGGGAAGAGTGGAGATGCATCCTTGGGTTACATATGGAGATATGGCATAAAGGCTACAGTATATGTAAAACTCAGAGTATCATATAATTTAACGATCGTAGAAATGCCATATTCCATGTTTCAACTTATCTCAAAATTCAACTAACATGATAACAAAAATATATCCTAGCTTCTAAATAACGTCCAAATCTGAGTTCTGACCTGCAACTTGACAATAAAGGTTTCCAATCTCCCACAGCACAGCTCCTAAACTGTAGAGATCACAATCCACTAGTCCTGCAGCAGATAACAGCATAGTACAGTCCAGTAGCTCAGGGGACATGTACAGCATTGTTCCCACCTAGGAATATTCACGTGTTACCTAGCAACATCACGTGTTACCTAGCAACATCACGTGTTACCTAGCAACATCACGTGTTACTTAGCAACATCACGTGTTACCTAGCAACATCACGTGTTACCTAGCAACATCACGTGTTACCTAGCATCATCACGTGTTTCCTAGCAACATCACGTGTTACTTAGCAACATCACGTGTTACCTAGCAACATCACGTGTTACCTAGCAACATCACGTGTTACCTAGCAACATCACGTGTTACCTAACATCATCACGTGTTTCCTAGCAACATCACGTGTTACCTAGCAACATCACGTGTTACTTAGCAACATCACGTGTTACCTAGCAACATCACGTGTTACCTAGCAACATCACATGTTACCTAGCAACATCACGTGTTACTTAGTAACATCACGTGTTACTTAGCAACATCAAGTGTTACCTAGCAACATCACGTGTTACCTAGCAACATCACGTGTTACCTAGCAACATCACATGTTACCTAGCAACATCACGTGTTACTTAGCAACATCACGTGTTACTTAGCAACATCACGTGTTACCTAGTAACATCACGTGTTACCTAGCAACATCACATATTACCTAGCAACATCACGTGTTACCTAGCAACATCACATGTTACCTAGCAGCAACTTGTAAAACTTCAGCGGGACATTTACATTGTACATCATCATTTTATTATTGTTCCCACCTAGTTTTGGAAGTGGTAGTATAAAATGAAATGAACGTACAGCATTGTTCCCATCTATGAAAATTCATTTTCAGAAAAAGAACTCGGTCAAATCACAGATTTTGGAAGTGGTAGTTTAACTGAAGTTACGATGTTTGCAAAGTACATGAACTTGAGAGGAGGCAGCTTCAATTATATTTATATTGAATTTACGTGACAGGATCACGAAGGCAATCATGACCAACCTGAGCAATATAAACTTCATCAGTCGAATTTGTTGAAGGGCACAAGTGACATCAAATAAATTGCTGTACCAAAATAGTATGACGGTTTCATTTGCCAACTGCGCGTCGATCTAATTTACCACACAACATTCAGGAATCATGGCAATTTTATTTTTATCCCACCATCAAATACTAATTTCTGCAGTGGCAGCCGATTGATTGGTTGTCACTGATCCCATCACACGCTGCACTCACAGTTATTGAGTTGTGTCGCGTGTTAAAATACCGTTTATCTACCCACTCTTCACTATAATAAAGCAACATCTCTTTATCAGTTTATATAACCATGATCCAACAGAAAGCTTTATTAGAAACGCCATCTTAGGACACGAGGAGAGTTATTTAAGGACTCCTCGAACTACTACACACAACGTTATCAGTATGCTAAGAGTAAGACATAGTTAGTCAGTTCGTACAAAAGTCGTAAAAATTACGTACAGTTCGGCACCTTTTTTCAGTTCGGGATTAGTTCGGGAAAAATTCGCCTCATAAATTTAAGAAAAGCTAATTCCAAAAATTTTATAATTTGAAATATGAGGGGTTTAAGTTTTGTGTTTAGAACATGTAAAATGGCGGGAAACGATGGCGTTTCCAATCGACTGATTAGCCATCACCTGCCGCAAGGAGCAGTCCTCTTCTAATGTATCTAGGTTTATGGACAGGTCAAAGTCAGAGAGCACACATCTGCCATCGTCCTGCACTAGGAAGTTAGCTGTCTTGATGTCTCTGTGCGCCAAACTGAAACAACAATGTTATTTTTTAAAGTTTTTGTCATTGTTTAGCTGTTCTTCTTCGGCTGTTCTTTATTTTTAAACCTAAAAATATTCTAATATATAAGGAAACATTTGACAAGCACATATTTATCTGATTTCATGGTTTAATACCAGCTCATACAAATTTAAAGTGGTCACTCTACATACCACAATACATCCGGACATGAGAGACACTTTCGGAGAGACATACTTTTAAATTACCTCAAAGATGCTGTCATTCAAAGAATTTGTCGTTTTATTTAGCGTCATTAACTTTAATGAGACCTGCTTTGAAGTTTCTAGCACATTTCTTCGGACCTTCATTTATTTGAATTTATACGGAGTTCCGAAGCTTTAGCCAAAAGAGGATTTTATTCCGAAGGTTTGAAGTATTTAATATAAAAAGTGTTGTCCCACGTTACCAAGGTAACGTTAGAAGATACAATGTATATTATATTCAGCACTTGATAATAGATAATGCGAATGAGCATTGATCGAATTACTATCAGAACATTTGCGATCACAAGATGACGATTTAGTTTTGTTTAGAGCGTTTACGCAAATGATTTGCGTAAACGCTCTAAACAAAAACTAAATCGTCATCTTGTGATCGCAATTAATTTATCAGCTATATCTCAACGTTTTGTTTCATGTATCTGAAATGTAAAGTATAAAAAGGTTTGCAAGGAAATATCGGCTGTTTATACCTGTTCAAACCCACTTTGTTACAGTACTCCAGTAATAAGTGTCATAAATACTATTTGTCTGCTGTCCAAGAGATAGTAATTTGTAAACCACAACTTATACCTAACCCCAAACATGCTTGATATACCAGACTAATACCACGAGGTTAACTTTCGTATCGGAAATCCGAACTTTATACAGGAGATATCGGTCAACGATCATAGAATGCCACCTGGTAAATTTCTTAGTTGTCTCAATAAAATAAATAGTTCTATTGTTGATGTTTATCATTCATGGTAATACAAATCAACGACCCTCAGTAAAAATCACAATGTGGTATTCTTTCACGTGGCTTTACCCAACTATTATAGACATTTACACCTCCCTTCATATCTTGCTAGACTCGAGTAGGGAGTTCCCTCAGCAGTGTTCATGCAATGCTTATTGTATGCCGACTATATCCCAGAGTACTTCAACAACCCTTCAGAGATTCCCGGCCACTCGTTCCTGTCAGCAAGGTCTATTTCTGTTAAGATCAGAAATTTTTTTTTGTACGTTTTGCTGGATTAGGTCCTTTAGGAGTTTAATGGAACTTAGGATTAAAGTTAAATTTCAAATGTATCTTTTTCATGTCTAGACATGGTTTGTTGCCAATGCAGACATTCGAACTAATTTCTAACGGCTAACCGCACAGCGTCAGTGTGTTGCTGTGACCTCAATAAACTTTAATGAAAATGATCTAGATGACTATTGATTAATAAAAGGTAATATAACCCTACTAATTTTTTGAGTCTTAAAAACAGCTGCTTTATTATTTCTGCGAAATGAATTTGCTGCAATAATGCACTTTAAATATTATGCGGAGTGATAATTCTATATTACTTCAAAATTTGATACTTTAAGTGGATTTAAGTGGTACTGTCATGTGCAACTACTTTGCTAGACTCACATGTTATATATTGCCACACCTCTTTACTGGTATGGGTACTTTTTGACACTGCAATTATTATCACTTTATCAAAATATTCAAATTCTCGATTTTAGTCTAGACTCTAGATTTAGAAGCTATAAATCTTAAAGCTTTAATTCTCAGTACTTTTTATTACCTGATATTTGAAGGTGAATTCTGTAGAATGTCAAAACCGTGAATGTAGGAAACAGCAGTGAATACGTCCCGCACTAGATCTAGAATGGGACAGTTAAAATAAAGAAATAACAGACTAGCGAGAATATAGTGAGACTAGTGAAGCTAGCGACAAGCTACCATCAGAAGACTGAAAAAAATTATTTGAAATACAAATTTTTTGGAATAGAAGTTTATTAAAACTCATTTAGTCTCGAACAAAGAGAAGAAAGTATTTAAAAAACTCTAACCATAACCACATTTATAAATTTGCTAGTTAACCCTTCAACCGATTAATACAAATTACTAACTGATAAGTTGTGAACATGATAAAGACACGCTGGAAAGATAATCTCTCAAGTTTCCTTTCTCGTAGTAACCCATCAGCAACGTCTTTTTGCCTAAATAAGGTAATTTTTAGATAAGATTAAATTATCTGTGATTAGAATGTTTGAATTAACCTAGGTTATTTCATTGCTTGTTTACAGTAACTTGCCATATATACAAACCTGAGGAACCCACCACAACTGAAGGAGACAACACAAAACCTTGTCTTATCTCACTTATCTCTTAATTAAAACTTTTGGCAATATTCCAGTATATCCCTCACTTTCTGACCTGATCTTTACTACGTTATCTCACAAGATAATTATTTAACATACTTCCACAACCACAACGTTACTATTTTCTCACCTGATATGTTTAATCTTGAGGTTTCTCACCTAAACTACACAACTATTTGCTTGGAGGACAAGTTTCGGAGCAATATAGACAATTCTAGAATTTTCTCGTTTACTTTTTTGTGTCATGCACCTAGAAAATATTTCTTGATTGATCACGCGATCTAATCTTTTGCATTCTTCTAACAGCACACTTTTATACCATCTTCATCTTGATTGTTGCCCCTCTTCTCGTCTGCTCCAGTTAATTAATTTATGACATGGACATTCTTCTTGTTAATCTTAGTTAATTGTTATACGTTATACAACCATTCGGCGAGGGTATCTGCATGTGACTACGCGCAGGGTTTGCTCAATTAGTCTCAGCATGCTATGACTAATTTAACAAAACCATTGCCTTATTCTCTTGACCATCACCGTCAATTTTATCATAGTTGGTCAGTACGCACTGTACGAACTTTTAAAAGGTGCCGAACTGTACGAATTTTTTAAAAGCTACCGAATTTTAAGAAAAAACCATGAATTTTATGATTTATCCAACGTTATCATTATTTTATTGACGCAGATAAGAATTCAATATGCATCATAATATCAATATCATATAAAACATAAATCAAATATTTGATTCGTCTGAGAAATGTCAATATTTGTCTGGAACTAGAACTATTAGTTCCTACCCTTGAGACATGATGATTTCTTACGTTTTCTGCAAAGCAGGGACTCCTACATACGATTATATAAAAGATTATGCGTTTAACTCGGGTTAAACTAGCCTAGTAGCTGGGTTGGGTTTGACGCAAATAAATAAATACGCTAACCATGTTGCCTGCACTTTTACAGGTTAAGTTAATAAGTTTAGATAGTTTTCAAGTTGTAATTTTAATAATCTGATCTTTTAACCATGAGCACAAGAATGGTAGGCGCTGAAGTGGTACTACTAATTACAACCAAGCCATGCTTAAATTGATTGTACTTTACTTGACGCAGTTAAATAAATACGCAGAACATGTTCCAACTCTTAACCGATCAAGTTAATAGCTTTTGGGCACATTCTTCGTAGCGACTGCAACTCACCACCACAACTAGCTCTAAATTTTGCTGTTGATAGTATGTCAAATATGAGGGAAGGATTGGTAGACATCAATGTAATATTTTTAAAACTATTTTAGACGATTTGAATAAAAGAAATATTAATTTGAATAATAGTGACGACTTGACAGACTTAAGGTATTTAGCCTCGAACCGCCAATTGTGGAGAAATTTATTTTAAATTTGATTAGTTCGATAATTTCAGTTTTAAGTTCAATTTTTTGCATAATTTTTGATTTTGATAAGTTCAGTTTTAAGTTCCATTTTTTGCATTTATAGTAAGTTTTTAGTGCACTAAGACAGGGACGTTTCAACTGGCGCCATGATCAGGTCCTACGTGAAATCATGAAGACTGTTTCATCACAGATTGACGAGTTTAATTCCGACATCGCCAAGGAATCGAAGAGGGCACCGTCGGTCTTTCACAAGGCAGGCAATAAGCGCGAGAAGGTTACCTTAGCTGACCCAACTCATCATAAGACCCAAAGATATTTCTTTTCAGATGCCAACGACTGGAAGATAATATTTAATGAGGATGAGAGACAGAGGAACTTCCCGCAGCACATTGCAGCTACACCACTAAGACCTGATGTAGTGATCTATTCAGATAAAGCAAAGAAGGTTTATCTAATGGAGCTGACTTGTGGAAATGAGCAGAACTTTGCTGATCAAGAGAAGCGAAAGATGAAGAGATATCAGCAGCTGACAGAAGAGATAGAAGCCAACGGATGGGCTTGCAAGCTCCAGACAGTAGAAGTGGGAGCTCGAGGCATTTACAACTATAGCCTCCCAACATTTATGAACCACCTGAACGTAAAGAACAAAGAGAAGAAGAAGGCCTGCATGAAGATCGCTGAGATCAGCCTGAGGGCATCGTATACCATCTATTTGTCCAGAAACACTACCATATGGACAGATGATTGGGAGTTAGTCAAGAGACCAGTAATAGCATAGTAGGAGCGTAGAATGTTTGGGCCCAGAAAAACATGTTTAATACCGCTATGAACCCGTCATAAGCCGGGGACTACTATGAAAATGATGATGCTGTGTTGTTGAAAGACCTTCGACCAATCAAAGATGTACCTCATCACGCCAAGCAGTTATGCTTGTAGGTGAATATACACTTATAGAGTACAACAACTTTATAACACTCCTACAAGTCTTTTAAGTAGACTTATCAGGTCTTTAGGATGTTCTTAGTAACTACTTTGGATTTGTGTAAAGTTTGATAAGATAGTTTTCAATCTTTTGATTTTATAAGTATACAGGGTGTACCATAGAAAGTGTGACTTTTTTGAGAAATGATACAAAATATTATGAAGGAGCAGTTGCTAAAAACTCTTCATCACATTGTGTCACTAGGTGTCGAATTTATGCATACCAAATTTCAAGTCCCCATCAATTTTTGATTTCTCACAAATTGCTATTTTGTTATGGTGCTAATTTAGGAACTTAAGCTTGCTGTAATTTAGGGGTCTCAAGAAAAAATTTTTCGAAATCAATATTTTAGCTATTTTTGACAGTAAAGAGTAATGTCTATCATCTGCTTTTGTTCCTATTAAAAAATTTTGTTCCTAGCCGAAGTTATCGCTGGTCAAAGGTCAGCGCTCATAAGTAATTGTATTGTGCGAGCGATTTTTTATCACGCGTAGTGAAAATCGAGTTTATCTGGCGTAGTGAAAATCGAGTCTAAAAATATTTTTTCTCCGACTGTTTTTGATTAATCACCCTGAAACATTCAAAATATGTGTTAGGGATCATTTAGAAGAGATTGTCCGGGCAGAATTTTGAGGAAGGTCTTTAAAACGTTTTTATTATATTTTGAAAATCTTGGACCTCAGCCATGAATAATGTCAATTTCAGACTAAAATATTTAATTTTTGGGAAGGGTGGCTTTTTTTGGAAGGTGCTTCACTATTAACCATATTTTTTATTACTATCATTAATTCAAATATATTTCCAACAAAATTTAGTTAAAAATAACTATGAAGTTTGATTTTGTAAAAAAATTACAGAAGTGGAAAAAAGTCACACTTTCTACGGTACACCCTGTATAACTGCATGAGCAAAAGAATGGTCTAAACCGGTGAAGTGGTACTTGTAATTACAACCAAACCATGCTTAAACATTGTTAAAGTGATTGTACTTTACTTGACGCAGTTAAATAAATACGCTAAACATATTCCCACTTTGACAGATTAAGTTAATAAGTCAATACGTTTAGATAGTTTTGAAATCGTAATTGTCAATCTCTTTACCATGAGCATCCGAAGTGGAACTTGCAATTATAACCAAAGTACCTGCCAGAAAGTGATTGCTTTTAAATTATATCTCCATATTTAGTATGGGAAGCAGCATGGTTTCATTCTACTAACCAACAGGTTACAGTTCATGTGTTGTTCATGAGTTGTTCACTGTTCAGCTAGTAATTGCCGGTACCAGTAAAATCGCAGGTCATCATGGTTATCATGGTTAACATGGTTACCATGGTTATCATGGTTATCATGGTTATCATGGTTATCATGGTTATCATGGTTATCATGGTTATCATGGTTATCATGGTTATCATGGTTATCATGGTTATCATGGTTATCATGGTTATCATGGTTATCATGGTTATCATGGTTATCATGGTTATCATGGTTATCATGGTTATCATGGTTATCATGGTTATCATGGTTATCATGGTCATCACAGTTATCTACTATGGTATTTAAAACCCAATTTAAAACTGAATCATGACCCCCCATGGCTAACTACTAAGTTATCCAGTTATCAAGTTCTAACACAAAGGGCAATTCGGTAATCTGTCGATGGTCACATACCGCACGGTTAAGATTTAAGGCACGGTTAAGGCAAACTTAACGGACACTTAACGTATATCACCTGTAAAGTACTATAAATCGCAGCATGAAAATATCAGTCACGATTACATAATAATTACATAATAATTACAAAATATTGCATTATCATAATTTTGGTCGTATTCTTGTCATTCGAAATTCAATTTTTTTAAATCAAATCCAAATTCAAAAGCCTAATTTAAGTAAATCGTTTTGTCACGTAAAAATATGGTGATGAAAAACAATTTTAATTTCCTTACTGGTCCATTACTTACTAGTCAAGATATCGTAACAGAAAACTATCGAGGGATGGTGTCCTTTGAACAGCTCAAATACTGTCTTCTCGTTCTCAAAGTTACGACTTTGCACGTGTTGCTTCTTCACCAGCATCTTACCACCTGACACAAAATTAAAGCTAAATGTCGTTTAACTCAACATATTTATTAGTATACAATTCACCTCATTACATAATTCATGACATAATGAATATTAATTATATCACAGTCGGCAAGTAGGTACAATGCCAACAGGCTGTTATATCAAAATATTAGACGGCTTATATTAGCCGGCAATTTAAACCTTCACAGTCTTATTACAAAATTATACTCGAAGGACTTAGCCGCTTCGACGCGCCGCGCAAACTATCAGTATCGTTCTTACTTCGCATCAAAGTAATCAATGAGATCTGACGAGATCGTTGCTCTGTTAATTCGCAGAGCAACGATCTGGAAGGGTTGACATCGTCAATCAAGATTATACATGAGTAATTATTGAGTATACCAGTACCACCTTGCTAGTGTGAACTTGCAGCTGTACCTCTGTGGACTGTGTGTACAACAGTCTACAATAACTCTTTACTTCAAGGGTACGCCAGATGAGGACAATAGGCTGGCTATTTAGTTGCCATGGAGACAATCAACATTCTGCTTTACCGTGCGGTGGGAATAAATTCGGGCGTGTCTCATGATAAGCGATGTTAACTTGTTAATTGCTTGAGCTGTTACTATGACACCGCCCGTCGTTACAGAACCGCCTCTCATGCTTTTGATTTGTATTATAATTCTTTGAATTTTGCACATTTTTTGTGAAATAGATGTGGGGACGAATCAGAACCCAGGATCACTATCAGGTGCCAAAAAATATATGGTTTTCAAAACTGAACTTCAAAGATGGTCATTAGATAATTATTACATTACTCTGAATGTCCTCCAACATTTTGTGATGCCCTCATAGCATTTTAGTATTTAAACTCAATCAGAGGTTGAATTAGCTCTAACAATACCAGAGTGGTCTACATATAATAAGTTAATTGATTAAATGATCAAGGAGGCAGACTACGATCCAATTTAAATTAGAGTTTACAAGGTTTACCAGGTTTACAAGGTTTAAAGTTAGGAAGATCGTTTTGCTTTAACGCGTCCACTTAAGCACTTATAGGCTATAAAGCTATAAGCTTGCTTCTCAAGATTTGATTGAGAGAGCCATGTAAATTAAACATTTTACCATTTCCTAAATAGAGCGTATTAGGAAAAATAGCATAAATAGAGTATATAGAAAATTGAATGAATTCAACCTGTTCAACTGAACCAACGAAAATCTACGCATAAATATTTAAGTTATTTACAACTGTGCTTAAATCATCGTGTGCGGATTAAACATGTGCATGAGCTCTTGGAACAGACATTAACCATTTTTTGATATTTTTAGTTTGACAGATGCTTAAATCTGAACTCTGGAAATATTAACTTTTGATGGCTACAATATTTACGATTACAATTAAATCTTCGTTATTTGTAGCCATGTGTTTGCTGCATAGTTGTCGAGTACAGTTTGCTGGTCATTTTCTGTTGTACAAGTTCCAGCTTGGTATTGTGGTGAGGTCATCAATAATAATAACCAGCTCATGTTGATGAATGATGATCTTATTGGAAATATGCGGTGAGTGGTGAGTAATTCTTAGTTTTGTGGGGTACTTTTGTTTTGAGGAATGAGGACTGATCATTGAGCTATTACAGTTGATTTATAATTATATCTAATGAATCCCGGAAAGAGGCATGGTTTAGTTTCGTCAATTACATTACGATATTTTATCCTGACAGCGTCACAACTCACAGCGGCACAATTTCATAATTCAAATCATTTCCTCACTATATCCACCACTAAAAGACCCGCGCCTCTAAAGCACGTATAATTTCCTGATGATTAAGTAAACTACCACGCGAGCAAACCGAGCTGACATCATACTAACAACTCGTCAACTAACCCTCACTTCACCACTACTTCAGCACCAGCGGTAAAGTGGTAACAGCTCTCTCGTTTTCTGCTTACAGTTTGTAACACGTCACGTGACTAACCCGTTTTCTGTTAACAGTAGGCATTACGAGTCTAATTGGCTCTGTCAAGATGACGTGATTGTTAATCTTGCAGCTCGTGCAATGAAATGCAGGGAATATTCCGTAGAGAAATGGTTTTAGTCTGCAGCTGTTTGTAATGTGTCACGAGACTTTATGCCCACGTGTCGGTACTAACAGCCCACGTGTCGGTACAGACAGCCACATTTATCTCTATCTAACTGACAGGCGGTGCCAGTCAAATTGGAACTGCAGTTCTTTTGGACGAACTTTTTCTACTCGTGTCACAATTACTGCATCTAATTTGCTGCTAAATGACATCTCATTTTTGGAATGGCTCTGCGTGGAGCCGTGTGCATTGGTATATTAGTGCAATAAGGGCAATTATTTTTCTAGTCGCTTTGCTCAATTTCTTATAGGTTTGCTTAAAAAGGTGCAAATGCTAATGAACAGTTTAAATGCAGTTCTGCACTAAAACCCCTGTTAACATCACAATCGTGGTGCTCTGAAAGTTTGACTCTGATCGCTTTGACGTTATACATTAGTAACTGTCTCTACATTTACATTTGTTGTATTTGCAAGGCAGCAATATAAAATGGCAGTCGATAGGGTTAAAACTAATTGAATGTGATGGTTTCTGTCACACTTGTACGGTTGCTGTCATGGTTGCACTGTCACAGTCGTATGGCTTGCTCTAGAAAAGTAGAAACTGTTAGAAATTAGTATTTCGTTTGCTTTGCTTTTCCTGCATCGGCAGAAGTGCCCATATATTACATGAGCTGTGAACAAAGGTCGCTATTGCAGATATATTTGTGATAGGTACCAGTATGTGTTCACCTTTCCAATACAGCCATCAGTTTCCTTGTTTTACCATTTTATGTAATACGTTCACCTTAAATCAACCTTTATTACAATGTTACAGCCCCCAATCCTCGCAGTAAAGTAATAACTGAACAATTGTGCCAACTCTCATTCGAACTTGAAGGGCTGTCTGTAATAAAGTCTGTTGAAATGAATCCAATATAAATGTCACCTGTGAGCTGATCTATACAATATCAACTTACATCTTTTGTCAAAAGGAAGTCTGTCTGATCACGGCCACCTGCTTATGGTATTATGATGTAGTTTTTAGTAGATGCACTAGAGAATGGTGTCATTCAGTGAGGAAGGTTCCAGTTCGATTTGTCTCGAACTAATTGTGCTACTGTAAGCTTGGTAATGGTTAGCACGAAGATTCCATCTGCGGCTTTTTTGATTTTATCGTCATGACTTTAATATACTTTTGGACTGTAGACTGTCAGACTTACGTCAGCCGAAAGTGATTAAGCATTATTTCAACGTTTTATTGTTAAATAAACTAGTGGACAGTGACCAACTTTAACAACAAGGTATTGTAAAATACTAATAGATGAGTATTGAGTAAAGCACTATTGAAGGAAATAGTGACCTAACATATTATCATGATTCTATATTCTCTGTCAATTCCCGCTGATCATGCAGGTCGGATCGAATTATTTTCTTCTAATCCATCTGGTAAGGCCCCGAATGATGTTTGATCTAGAAGCCGTTAGAATCATGCCGGAGGCCTCAATTTTAGCTCACACTCTGTATCGAGGACGGCCCAAGTCCCCTGTAATCCTCTAATGTGTCTAATTTGACCCAAATTATCACGTAGTTAGAAGGTAATGAAGAGTTAACTATCTAGCAGCTCACTATTTTACAACTTTGTGTGCCTTTTGTATGGCAGAACTGAGAACACGCGTTATTGATCTGTTAGACTTCACGGGAGTGGTGGACAGTCCGCATTCTATTTTGTTAAATAATATTTTGCTCGTACTCGCAGCAAAATTCGATTGTTTTTTGCAAAGCCAACAGTTAAAAAACAATGCAATATATTTTCTACGGAGAACCATTACTCATCTACTACTACTGTATATGATGCAATATGGTCACTGTAAAATTCTATATTTACTCGGTGACCCCTGGAGAAAACACAGCTTAGCATTTCTCGTTCCAAGCTATTCACATACAATAATCTCTTTAAAATCTAAATTATAAGCAAAGTACTCTTTGAACTTTGGATATTGCCTGTAATTCGCTTTGTGTGCAAATGATGTCGTGCTTAATTTAAAACCAGCTTAGCGTTCATTAAATTCAAAGAGCCTCAAGGTTTTGGGCAGAATGTTTTTGTATATTTCAACTCATTGTCGACCATTACATCATTCTCGACCACTGAAGCATTGCAGCATCGTAAAGTTGGAGTCAGGATTATGTCTCTGTTAATGGTTTTAAACATGTCCAAAATGAGATGTCTCATTGAACATGGTTACCGATGTCAAGACAATCATGAGCATTACCCTTGATCCGTTTGTCTTGGTCTTGGGCAAGTGATTACATGGTTGTCACATGGTTACAATATGGTTGTCATGGTTAAATGGTTGTCATTGTTCAAGGGACGACTGATATCAAGATTGAAGATGACAGCAAGACTTATTTTTCATGAAGAAAAAGGTTTTGTGATAGGTAATCATCTGACGGTAATACTTGACTCCTACATTTCTTTTACAACTCTGAATATAAACCGTGGTGCTGTAATTTCAGACAGTAACTGTATACTTTATTTCTTAACTGTGTATTGAAGTGCTGGCATGGTTACATGTCAGACAACTGAAAATAAAACACTTATTTTTGTGAGTAATAGTACAATGCATTAGACTAATTAGCGTATAATTAGGGCACCAGTTTCATCTGTTGCATGTCCCTTTGCCTTGAGAGCTTGAGGCCGGCCATATTCTGCCTAATAAAGTAATCACATTATAATGGAAAATTACTATTCTGACAAATTAAATTATTAATTTGACAAATTTGCAGCATTTGCATCCTTCAACACCACACTACTACTGTATTACCTCAGCGCTATAAATATCTGTTTTTGAATTATAAAACATATTATGCCCTTTTAATTGATGTAGTTTTGTCCCAAATAAACTAACAAAGTCTTACTTCAGTCATTATTACTTCTTACGACCTCAAAATTCCTTCTTTTAGTCCTATAGATATTCGTTTTTTGAATTTAAAAACATATTTTTATTATGCCCTTGTAATTGATGCAATTTTGTCCGAAACAAAGGCTTACTATACAGTCATTTTTACTTTGTACGACCTCACAATTTTCTCTTTTTGTGCGCCTTTTGTTGCAATTATTCTTTTGCAAACAATTTGCATTCTTAATTCTTCGAAACTATTGTTATATATTTTTATAAAACTAACCTCTAGTTTTAACGAGAGTAATTTTACAAAATCGCCCATTCTTGATGAAGATCTCATCTTGAAAGTTAGCAGTGTCATCCTCAGGAGAGCTGTGCTCTGACTCCCCGACTTCTATATCTCCGTCTACCTGGAAGTTTAGCAGTAAGGGACTACTATAGGTGCAGTGTTCAAGCAGCACGACCCTGTGTGCGGACTATTTATGACATGATGGTATCTATCTAGTTGGATGCAATTATTAGACTGGGCCGGTAGAAGGCCGCCTTCTGAGAAGGCGCCGTCCTAATCACTAGATTTTCATCTACTTTCCGGAGCTAAAGAGTAGTGCTAGGTGCTTTGGTGTACGCGTCAACTTTTTTTTTCTTCCAGAATATGAAAATTTATGCAGTCTTATGGACTGATGCCTGATAGACTCATATGAACTATGAAGTTGAACGGAAGGACTAAAAGTGTTTCACTTTATTCTGTCTCGTTCCTCTGTCTATGGAGCCATGTGTTGCATCTCTTTATATTAATACCTCTGGGCCAAACTCCAGTGATGTATACCAGATGAAAATATTAATTGACAAGACCAAAATAAGTTTCAACACGTAGCGTTTTTCCTGGGAAATTACCATGTTGAAAACCTAGATATGTGTTTAAATCTAAGCCAGTCAGCATATTTCATCACTATCAATAATTCAGAGACTTCATAACTTTATCCCCATTAAGCATTAGCTCATCAAATAAAATCCGAATTTTGGCCCATACATATTACATTTTATAAGATTGTTAACTTTATTTTTGTTCAATACATAAATATAAAAATATTAATTGTTGAATTTAAAACAACAACAGACTAACTTGTTTATAACTTGCTACCTTCCGTCGTCTCCGAGTTCTGAAGACAAAGTAACTGAGCACCAGGATAGAAGTAACACATACTGTCCCCATGGTGATAAGAACCAGAACTCTGACTCCCAGCCTCGCAACTTGAACAGGATCATGACTCAGTATGGGCACTGATGACGAAACTGTCATCAACGAAACTGTCGTCAATGAAGCTGTCGTCATAAAAACTTTCGTTATGGAGGCTGCCGCCATGTTAACTTGATAAATTAGAACATTGCCGTTATTATTATTTGAAGATCAGTTAAACCTTAGTGGTTATGATTTATAACTTATAAGGCCACGGCGTTCAATTTAATTTGACAAAGACATTGATCTATTTGTGTTTGGTCAATTGTGCGTTTATGATTTAAACCAATCATAATTTTTTAAACACATTTTACCCTCCAATGAATGATGAATCATTGCCCAAATATAATACGGTATTTCGTTAGAAGAACTACTTAAATTAGCTGACAATTGTTATAATATGAGAATATACTCACGACTGGAGGAATTATGGAACTTCTCCTGGAGATTAATATTGGAGAAGTTCTCCACTATTAATCTTTCGTTGCAGTTGTGTGCGTTACAATAGTAGTACTGGGTTGATGGTTCTCTCTTCGTTCTATTGAATCTGAGGAATGGTTTATTAGGAATATTACCATATTTTTTTCGAGAAAATAGCTATGTTTGTTGATCATAACAAAATCAAAGATTGCACATGTAATAGCAATATCATGATCATCTCGAATTAAGGCAGAGTAAAAGATTCTTACGATAAACTTAACATAAACTTTATAAGAATCTAAAAATCCACTCACCTATAAAAATTGTCCAACCGAGTTTCAATCGGAGAATTCGAGTAATCGTCGGTTTTAATATTCTGCAATTTAGCATAAAGTTTGTAGAAACCCCATTCAGGATTCTGCACAACTCTTGCACTGAGGATTAATTAGTCATTCAATTCATTAGTCTAATTAATAGTCAATTATTATCGACAGATTTATCGTAACGTTGATTTATTTCCAGGATATGATATTGTCAATGATAGATCATTTCCATAAAAACCTGCAGTAGCTGTAAATATCCTTCATTTGTTTTTCTGAACACCCCTCCGCCCCTCGTAACAGTTCACCGATACTTCTTGTATTGTTTAATGGTATTCGTAGGTCACATTGCCAACAACTTTTCATTTTATCTAAAAAAGTATATCGTTTGCCAAAACCAAGAGTTCATTGATTATGGATGGGAGATAAATGGAATGGATGAACCAGCGATCAGGGATCACAACTTTAAGATTCTCCGCCACTATTTATCGATAGACCTCTCCCGCGGAGATCAATATCTTCTAAAATACAACATATTGTAGCACTATACATCACTGTTTCATTTAAAGTAATACCTATAGATAACATCATAGTCTGATCGGGGGGCCAATTTATAAACTAAGATACACATAGTCTACCCAATAATAACGACTAGACAGATCCTGAACTCGTAAAGGCCTACTCACGGACAATGTTCGGTAAAAATAAAAATAAAATAAAGTTTAGAGCGGCCCCAGTATATCTGGAGTTAATAAGGGACTCAATTACCCTGGAGTTATCAAGTAGTTGGGGAGTTAAGATCAGGGAGATGTCTCAACAGGAATTAAGATGATCAGGAAATGTTTTCATATATTACTAAGTGACTGTGACTGAAAATGTCAATAGTGAAATTTATAAGTGACAAGGGAGGGGGGTATAGCGTGGATTAAAAACTAACATTCAAAATCTTCATTGTTTACCTGTAAAGTTTGTTTCTGTGTAGTAAGATCTTCTGTTGTATTTTAAAAAGTTAGTCTTGTTGACCAACTTTGTATCAACAAGCCTTTTGTAGTAGAACTTATCAACTCTTCCCACTGCTGAAATATGAGGTTAACTTTAGCTCACTGTAAAAATGACAAAAAGTTCCAGACTTTTACAATTGACTACACAATAAGTTAATCAAGTAAAGAAGTAAGTGCTTAAATGTTCATATATTAGATGCTCATAAAATGGTACGTAATTTCTTATTTTAAATCGTTTTTAGATTAAGTCAGTTGGAGTCGTGGGAAAATTAGTCTAATGTCGCTGTTTCATTTTTCTATTTGCAGTAGAAAGAACAAAACTAAGGCTTCTCGCAAATTATTGGGGTTTCTTGGGAGGAAAGGTTATGGTTATTTTAAGGTTTTTATATGACTTGCTCGGGGAGAGAAAATATAATCATTGATCAGTTCTCTGTCTCACGACGCGACTTAGCTAGAAATATACCTTTGCATTTTAGTAAACTTGCTTTCTTCTTTCTCCGCTGACACTCGATTAAAGTTCCGCCGTCTTTTGACTTTGACTTTTTAACCCTGAGACATAATTCAAGTGACGGGGATGTGGGAGAGAGTTGGTACCTGACTACCCAATTAATATGGTCTGAAACAAGTTTCCGCGTGACAGCTATTTGTCTCTATCAAACATGAGGAAACGTAACTTATCAGGTTCCAATGCACTGATACTGTTTTTAGAGCAAGTTCAGTAACCAACAACCATAGTCCATATTGCTCATGGATACGTAGCTCTTACGAATTTGATACGTAGTCATGGCGACATGCGAAAGAATCTTGACGACTGCCCTACACTTATGTCGAGCATTGTAGATAAGTAGATTCCCTGTGCGTGATTCTACGTATTTCTAAGTTAATCTTGAATAAAAGCAAAATTAATTGCTAGAACAGCGACAAATCTTTCATTTAAATTGTTAACAATCACACTCTTTAAATATGAGCATATTCGACAGAAATCTTCCTGTACGAGGGCAATTCGGAGGAAGTCTTGAAAAAAGTCTCCTTTATAAGCTCATATTATACATAATTACAAGTCCAGCTCATAATACAGCGCCTTTTTACTAAAAATACCCTTTAAAAGCTTCTATTTCCATACTTTTTCTACCTCTGGGAGCTATAACGCGACTGGTCGAGCTCCTACATTAACTCTGAGAGACAGAGCCGTGTCAGAGCAATAAATACCCTCTCTTAACACACGAGAAACTTTTACAGAGGTGATTTCATCTCCCGGCGAGTTGCTTTTATGATGAAACATTCCAGAACTTGGAGCTCTCCTTACTTGCCGGTCTTTAGACTTTTAGACCAATTCTTTCAACACTTTGACATTAATATGAGCCGTGTTTCGTGAAATGTTCCTGGATTTCTGCCGTGTGGATTGTAACCGGTGCCAAAATTTCTTGCGACTTTGTCGAACGTTCTCTCCAAGGTTAATGTTTGTAATTGTGCAACTGTAAGTCTCCTAATTTTGTGTATTACTTTATGAAGATAGAGCAATCATCACGTTTTCAACTTTTCAGTGATTCACGGTTATTAAAAGCTGAGAGGCCCTGTCAGGAAGTATATAGTCTGTGTGTAGTCTGAATAACGTGTATCACCTGTCTGCACTTCATTTCAAAGTTTATAAGATTATTACACGTTCGTTTAAGTTCTTGTTTGATTTTCATATTTTATACCTGCATTTGGATGTTTTATAGTTTGTTGAGTAGTCTTTCTTTCCTACTGTTTCCGTCTGATCTTGAGGCTTTCTGGAAAAAAATGTAAAGTCAACGCAAATAAGCTGAGTTTAAACATTATTTGTAAAAATATAGTCTTGATACAGTTCACACATTTTTCTCAAAAATGAATAATGGCATAGGAAAAGGCAATTTTTTGACATAACTAAGTAACTAATGCAATTTGTATCCAGTGCCTGGATTGGTAAGAAGAAATCCATTAAAAATCTGGCAGGATTTTATTTAACTCGAATTGGACATTTCTAGAGCATGTAAGGATTCAATTTAGCATGCTAAGTGGATATAAGAGATATATTTTATTTTGAGTAGTAATATGATACAATTAGCCCCGTTACCGCTGCAGTAAGTGGTTTAGATCGCAAACTGCTTCTCCGATTCCTGATTCCCAAATTGTATTGTAAATCGGGGTTTTACGGTTCCCCATTATGGTATTGCAGTTGTTAAACCCCCATTTACCGTATTATTTCCTTTTCCCCCAGACTGTACTGTGAATCGGGGTTTTATTTGTGTATGAACTATCAACTCTATTTTGTTCGATTTTTATCAGTTTTTGGGAGAACATTCCACAGTAATGTTGTTTGTCCCTGTTAAGTTATAATTTTAAAACGGAGTTGATATCCGTTAAAATGGATTGGTGTTGGTTGTGTCAGATTCCGTACAAAATGCTTCGACATCGAATAATCACCTCCGCTACAGTGAAAACTAGTTGAGGTTGAGCTTTTAAATTATCTGGAACATGGCGCCTCTTACCGAAAACCATTTATTCTTTGAAGTCAAAGTGTCCCAGTGCGGCCGTTAAATATAATTTTGTCGAGTGACAACGTACAACTTGTACGTTGTCACTCGACAACATCTACAAGATGGCCAGAATCTATGCATTTAACGGTCACAAATTTTAAGGTGGTTGAGTATATCGAATTGTACGAACTCCATATGGTACAGTTTTTGTAAATTGAGACGGAAAATTGTCACTATTAGCTACGTTTTAAATTTTCCGTCTTATATTAAGACTAATAAGTCTGCTGTGAATGTATATAATTACTGATGTGCTTGGCTTCTTTATGGGCTTCCCTATTTTATGACTAAGTTTATAAATATTGATTTTCCCCGTACCTTTTTGACTCGTAGGAGCAGTTAGCAATCCATTCGGGCACCGGTTGTTCTGCGAGTTCTTCAACTTTGTTTCGGCATTTTCTTCCGGTACACTTACTGGATTCTGTAATTAGTATCCGACGTAAAATATATAAAACGTCAAAGACTTATGACTTTAATTGAGCTTCAAATTAAGACTTTCACTAAGTTTGCGCAACCGCTATAAGAGCAAAACGTTGCTTATAAGTTTAAGGCTTCGTGAATAAGAAATATTTCAAACTAAAATAAAATGTTGGTAGAAAACGATCAAGACCAATTTCCCTGCCAGAGACTTCCAAAGACTAAGATTCCTCAGACGCTAGTATATGCTTATATGAAAACCAGAGCCAGTGAAGTAAGTATCACTTCATTATTCGCTCATACAGTCATTAAAGAAATATACTATCATAAGCTGACCTGAACATAAATCTAACCATTCCCAAACCATTGTCCAGAGTATGATTTATAGACAAGAAAAGTATAAAACGTATAATAGGTACTAACTTTGTTGACTGATCTCAAATTCGATGAGAAGTAAAACGGTAGCAAATAAACGATACATGGTTAAACTTATGGTTCATCCCAGCCATCTTGACGGTAACAGGTTCTTCTCGTCTGAACCTACTCAACTCGAAGAGGGATCTACTAAGGGTCTAACTAAAGTCTACACAAATTCAATGGGTCATAGACGGCACTTTTACTCAACGTGAGATTCTGTATTTCTGAGAAATCTGGAATGTATACACAAGGGGTATTTTTTTGTGAAACTTGATTTTGAGATAGCAGTCTGACCAACAAACCAGGACTGGTGACCGAACTTTTGAGGGGGTCCCGGACCCCAACCGTCCACGTACCGGTGACCGCAGCCCCGCAGGGCAGGCGCGCCCATATTTGATCCCAATTTGACCAAATAATGGGCCAAAAACCATATGCCCATATTTAGGTATGAATACCAAATTTTTTCCATCGCCTAAAAAGGCAATAGATGGTTAGAAGTGGTAGGATTTGAGAATGGGTATAGTGGGTATAGGTTTTTCGTGGTGTCACAAAGCAAAACATGCATTAACCTCCGCAAACACGTGCTCCTTTACAAATTATCTTTTGATGGTCGCGCGCGCATTTTACAATGCTTTTATGTCAAGGTGTACTCTATACCAAGAATCGAGCTAATAAATCGTGTACGGCGCGCATGTATATCTCTTTTCGCTATTACACATTTTGATTCGCATTGATATTTGTCGTTTAAGCTTTCGTTAACTTCATGCGATACAAACTTCTCATTTTGTTGTGGGTGCTTGGTGCAACCCGATATTAGTAATCCGTTATGTTGTTGTATAAATTATGATGTTATGACTATCATGTTGAACATGATTGCCCATAGATTGATTCATTATATTTAGACGAAATGAACGATACATTTTATTATGATTCACATTGTATTAACTACCACAGATTTGATTGGGTGACATCTGTCCGACAGTCGAATTACCGGTTTCGGACAAGAGTCGCTGTCAGATAGGAGTCGTTTTTGGCGACATCTGTCCAACTTTCGGATCACAATCGCAATTTCAAATCACGTTCGTATTTCACAAGCTCACGTGTAATCTTGTGACGTTGCTCCCACAGTCCTAATATAATGCTGATTTGATCCATTGAGATCTGATCCATCGATACGTGATTGACTATTTGAGGACAGGATCATGCTATACTAGCCGTACACTAACAAGCTGTAACAAGCTGCCAATCACATCACAGCCTACATTACACGCAGGAGAGCGGTATGGAGATCAGTTATTTATATAACATTTAAACTATTGTCCAATTTTTGACATCAAATGAAAATAAACTATGGTAGAGTTCAGCTCAGGTCATATCTCAGTTCAGATCATGTCTCTAATTGGAAAATGGAAATGTGTCTTATTGCAATTAGATCACGATTTCGGACAGATGTCTTTTTTTTCTGGTAACATATTGAGTCGGACAAAAGTCGCTGTCGGACAGATGTCCTTTTAACTGCATCATGCATATCACCGCACAGGCTACACTACGGTGTCCGGTCGTTTAACTTTCGATTCAAATAATTGACAACGGCAATCCCTCCATTTTGTTCTCTGTAACGCCCCAAAGAAATTTGGTAATTTAACCAATATGAAACAATTGTTAATTGTAATTAATTACGTGGCGATGGAAATCTAGCGTCCGCTAACCGGCGCAATTCTTGTTTCATTTAGGCCTCCAAAGAAATTTGGTGGCCACTATCCGAAATCTCCCCGGGAAAATTCAGATTTTGGCCGCCATGTAGGTCGATAACTATGTCAACTATATTTATTGTTTAATGTGTATAAATTATGCGAATACAAAGAGTTGCATGAGCTATTTCTCTTGAGTCTTGATCATACGGTGTATCTTTATTCTTTAACCTTCTTAGGTCTAGACTAGCTAAATAGCTGCGCCCACTATCTTCAAGCACAATTTATAGACAGTCAGCATCGTAGGTGGTGCTGTATAAATACTGTTTAAGCACGCCCCAATAATAAAAGTAAAATGGCAAAAAGGCGGCACTAAATAAACTGGTTAGTAAGTTATGTAGCTAAATCAGGTGGGCACCACGCCCCCGCCTGATCGTGCCTAAACTACCCATTTATCCATGTCACTCAAACACCCCCAAAAACGACAATTTTACTATTAAAGCTTTGGTAATTGGTATGGAACCATTTGACAAACTTTGGCTTTTTGAACTACCCTACTGGTTATGTAGAAACCCTGCCCCCGCCTCGTGCCCAACCTGTCCACGTGCTCCTGTGGACTGTGGAACAACCCCCCCCCCCCCCCCCGTACAGTATTTAAAATTAAATAAGTATTTAGCTGAACTATATGGTAGGCGGGCGTTTTTTGGTGCTGTATTGCTGATTGGAGATGAAATTACTCATGTTTTAATTTATAAAATTATATTCGTTACGGTCGATTCATGCCACATGAGGGGACAGCATTCAACTAGTTTTCAATGAAAGAAACAGTAACATTGATTGAAATACTGTTGCCCTGTTCGCAGTTCCTCAGAATCAACCCTTATAGTAGCACCTCGCAGAATACTGTGTATCTTTTATTAAAGTGTATTGATGCATTTCACTTAGAACATTCTTGATTCCTCTATATACTCATTTTCATTCTTCGGTATCATCTGAGCTAATAATAATTTTAGATCATCCAAATATGCTCAAAATGGAGCTAACATCACATGGCCTGATCACCTCTGAAGTATGAGCTGAACAAAACAGATCATTTAATTAAAAAGAGAAAGCTTTAACTCTTCTCTTGCAGCATTTCCCATTTATGGAGCCAAAACCTCCTCTCTTTGTCAAGCTCGCATGCTTCTGTTAAGACATGTTTATAGATACCAATGTTTTCCAACTACGCATATCATCATAATGACGCTCAACATTACGACAAAACAATGAAATGAGCATGTTATAAATCACAGTTAATAGTTAAACAATAACCAGTAGTACTGTATACGTGTTATGATGATGACACGCAGGAAACTTGACTCCTGACTCAGAGCTGCAGGACTTATATAGTATCTAGCGGGGATTGTTCCTCATTCCGCAGACAGGCTGCTTCCTCGCTTCCTGGCTGGAACAGTTTTCTGGCAAACGTTTGTTTTTAGATTTCCTGGTTATTGGTTGTTTTGTATAGTGCTAACAGCGTTTTAAGATTGCCAAGTTCTTTATAGATGTTTAATAGGTGTGTTGATGTCAAGCTAGTGTCTAAATTTTCATACGATTGTCTACTATTTCAAATTTGGCACAGCTATACTATTTAAATTAGCGTCTGATATTTCAAGACGATGACTTTACAGACTTCACATTTTTCTTCACATTTTTCTTCATATTTTTCTTAGAGCATCGCCGACAATGGATAGTGACTGTGAGAACCAGCCGATGCTTGAAAACATTTTTTATTTTTTATTGACACGCATTACGGCATTATATAGTTGTGTTACTGTTAATGACGGATCTCAAGATTTCCTGTTTTCATTTTTTGATGGGTTTAAAAGCATTTTTTCACACCATTCTTTGTAGTATAAAAGGGCCCGAACTTTTCAGTTATTACATATCAGTATTTATTAGTTTATTGATTACCACAACTTTGATGGTTTTCCTAGGTTCTTTGTCATCATGTTTGGGGTGTATTAACTTTTAAGCGTTTGATAACCATTTTCTCAATTTCCTCAAGTACAGAAGAAAAATAGTCGCTTATAAAATGAGTAACGATCGATGGCCACTTCCTCGCAGACACATTTAATCTTGGCCAAAATAACTTTGGATTTATCGCCCATTCAACCACATATTTGATACTCATAAATAATTCTAATAGTGATACTTGATTCTAAAGAACGCCACCAACGTCTGAAAAACACCCGCGTCGTCATGGCTGAGACTGCATATAAACAAGATGATTTACTACTTTGGTAAATTATGTCTACAAACATCTCCTATTATAGTAGCATTCCTCTTTTTCCGTTGTAAAATCTTTTTACCTTCGTCGCCACTTAAACACGCTTTCCCAGAACAATGCATTTAGCTAATATATGTTGTTGGAGTTTTGCCATGTTTTCTGTTGCTTCCTAACTCTGGCTATTTAAATATCTTTAGTCGTTCGAACAAACAATTTATCGCTTCCATTATATGAGTCATATTCTAATAACATTCTTTTATTTCTTGCCACGTTTCTTTCTTTTCTCCGTGGATTTATAATCGATGAGCACCCAGTACCGTGTGACACCGCTCAATTCTCAAAATGTTGTCTCATTTGAAAAGGAATTGTACACCGACAGAGAAACAAATTGATTCAGTCCCAAATCAACCAGATATGTGATAACTTGTGATCTCTTGTAATATCTTTTGATGTCTTGTACCTTGAGCGATAAGTATTGCAATCTCCTAAGTACTGACATTCAGTCCGAGCATCTGATTGGCTCCGAGCAAATCATGACAAATACCTTCAGCTGAATTTAGGATTAAAGTTATTATATATACTGTCCATTTTGCTAGTGGTGTTGGACGACATTCATTTTGATTAAACAAAGCTTTTACATATTATAATGTGTCTAGTTTTGAATAAGACAATATATTTAAACACACGTGATATATAATCTTTGACGTAAAACTATAATTTGACGGATAGGGTGAGGCTATTTAACCGTAGTACTGCACAGCTGCAATGCATCAGCTGCGAGCAGTGCTCCACTACCTTCTACTTGTCTAACGAGAGTCAGTCGATATGGTTATCAAGTTTGACCGTTATTGACATTATTAAACCGAACTTGCACAAATTGTAACGCACCAGCACTCAGCAGTGATCAATGCTCCGATACCTGTTTCAATCGTTCTAGAGTCTAGACTGGCTATCAAGTGTTTTCTTTCTTTTTTTTTCTTTGCTGATTTTGTTTCGATTTCGGTTTGCATTGCAGATGTTCCTAGTAAAAATTCTTTTAACCTTTATAGTGGATAGTAACATTCATCAAATCTGTGACAAAGTAAGCAGTTGATTCTGATAGGACTGGAACCTCTA